GTTCCAGATCTTGCTGTACAGCTGGGTCGAACGGCTGCCCAACGGCGAACACTCTCTTGATGACCACCCCAGCTATGTTGGACTCGTTCGCCCAAGTGCGGCGGATGTCCTGCCGCTGGATGTAATTCTTAGGCGACGTCGTGACAATGATGAGAAGAAAAACGTTCTGGTTCTTGCACTTGTCCGGATGCTCCAATGTGAAGTGGTAAGGATGCGGGTTTATGGGAGACGAGGAGCCCCGTGGCTGACTGCCTCCGCCAGTTTTCTCCGCTCCGCTCTTTACTCCAACGGAATCGTGTGTCAGGCCTTGTGGAGGGGGGTTGAAGAGGTTCAAATTTCTCGACACAGTTTCTTTGTCACATTTTTGCAGCAGCGAGTGGAGTTGGTATGATATGGTGATGATGCAGCCGACAAGCATGCAGTTGAAGATCGCGTGGACCTTGCCTCGAACACTGCCTATCCTCAGCGGCATGGTGCCCAGTCTGTGGGAAAGAAAGAAGCAAGAGTTATTTTTTTCCATTCCAACATCTAATCACAAGACGTGGTGACGGCACACGACTCGGTGAGCGGTGGATTCTTGGAAGGGAAACATCTGTAACGTTATATCTGCATAACCGGTATAACTGGCCTTTTGCGTAACACGCCAGCTTCGCTATTCCTAGTTCTTTTAAGAACTTTACGAACTACGATTATGTCATTGTGAAGATATGGCGGCCGCCAATTTTTTTTATATATTCCAACATCTAATCACAAGACGTGGTGACCGCACACTCATCACCTCACCCATCACACTTATCACCTAGAGCTTTCGACCGGCAGTGAGAACCATTAGAATGTGCCCAATACAGTTTTTAGAACTTGAAAACCAGATTTTTAAAAGTCAATATTGTAGTCACATATATCTACATACTAAATTGAAACAACATATCCACATGTATATCGACATTAATGAAGCAAACATGCCGAAAATTGTGACAGAAAATGGTTACTGGTGGGGTCCTGAGCTGAATTTTGGGGAACCACCCAGAATATAATGGACTCATCCCACAACCTGAAATGGAATGTATCTTGCTCCTATCTTCCACCACATTGGTTCTTTGTTATGTTCAGTTTAACATTTTTTTTCAAGCAGTTGCAGTCATGGTTGCAATCTAGATCCTTTTGAAGTAGCTAATTGTCTAATTATCTCATGACCTGTACTTAGTTCGAATGAGCAAAAATGTACAATTAAGGTCTTTCCTTCCTTATTATCACATTGTCTAATGCTGAAGACATACATGTGTGTTTTTAACAAGATTATCCACCCAAACTGGGTCACTACAACAATAAGTCTAAGGTTAGAACGATCCGCAGTCCTTGTGTTGATGATGGCGTCTGGCGATAAACAGATCAGCCATTTTCACGAGTCAGTGACCTGGAGGTAAAAAAGGTTATTCCCTGGGGATGTCTATGTATGATCTTCGCTTTTTTGTACCACAAAAAAAATCCTACTTCACGTCCACAGTTTGGAAAACCCGGAGTAGATTGTTGATTTTTCATGTGTAAAGCTAAAACGTGAAAGGAAAGTTTACGGTGGTAACAAAACAAATTGCGTAACTAAGATTGATTATTGTTATGTCCATGACCCGACCACCTGATAGTTACACTGTGCCGCAGGGAACGTTTTTTAGCCACTCGCATCAAAACATTCGCTCTAACGTTGACGCCCATCGCGCTGGGATGGATGTAAACACAAGATAACACGGAATCAGATCTACTCTCCAAGCAGAAGTTGGTGGGGAAGATTCTCCAAGCAGATCCCTTTCGGTGGCAAAAAGACAGTATCAAATTGGCCAGGCAGTATCCACTAGCCAGAGAAGGTCACCAGTCACAAAAAACGGCCATGTATAAAAAAGTAACGATCAACCCCCCACAACCTCTGCTTGGAGAGTAGAAGATTGTGACATTTCTATCATTGGTGGGGAGTAGCGACATATGATAGAAAGGTCGCAGCCTTCCCCACCAACCTCTGCTTGGAGAGTACTAGTATGCAGACCTCACTGAAATGGCGTGACCTCTAGTTTTTACTACCTGCACGTGTTAACACATGCAGTATAAGATGAGATAACGACCACTTCTGTGTAAGGACCACATACCAGCCACTCGTCACTTTTTCTACAAGAACATGGCAGCTGTGGGCTATTAGTGCATAGTATCTAGTAATTATAACTTATTTCAGTCACTGAGCCATCTCAAATCTTCTGTATCTGTATCAGTATAGCCGGTATAACCGCCCTTCGACGTAACACACCAGCTTCGTAGGCACGCGGCGCGGCGGCAGCTAGCTATATCACACCGAACAACTTGTTACACTCAATCTTTGCACATTTAATTGCAGGAGTTGTTTATAGCTTTCTAGTGATGATGCCCCAACTGTGCTTCGAATTCGTTGGTGTTACTCACTTACGTTACGTTATAGCTAGGAAATTACAGCACATCTACTGGTAATGCACATAGATTTCTAGTACCTTTTCCATTGCCATTCAACCTAAACAGCACTTGCAGTACCAGCAGCCCGTACGAAAAGACTAAAAAAACTCATTCAAACACAAGGCCTAGGCAAGATGCCTGTACAAGTCTTCGCAGAATGACTGGTCTTTACTTCAGTGCCCTTAATTGTGAGGCTTTTTGTAATGTTTTTGTTCGTGTGCTTGCATATGCATTGTAATGTTAAGTAGTATTTGTCAGATAATCATTTGTAAAAACAGTGTTATTCAGCATGTTTTTGCACAGGCTGCGAGGCTGTTTTTTATTAATAAACTGTTAATTGTAAACTGTTGTAAACATTAAAACATCACAACCTCAGTCTACTTTTACAATTTTCTCTATCTAAAATCCCTAGAGTCCAAGAGAAGATGATTATAATGTGCTCAATCTCCAAACAGATACGTTTTCTTACAGACTAGTGAATACATGAAGGTGAAGATAACGTGACAGGGGAGGGGTGTACATTCTTACCAGGGATCCCTGAAGCCTTTTCTTTTTATACTGCCTTAAGCGCATTTTCCTACACAATGCATGGGCGACTGCCTTGGCGGAAGGAACATTTCTGCCAAATCTTTGAATTGGGTGAACGTGGGTTGGCTTCACAACAAATTACGTAGTAGACAAGTGAGAATGGTCTGGGCACACATGCAGGCAAAGTTTAGGGGCAACCGACTGTTCGGCATAGTTAGGAATCCCATGTACTTACATGACAATGGCGCAGGTGTATTGTAACAAACGAAATCGCGTTCCGCGGATACTTACCGATGTTGTGGATCAAACCTCGCGTCGTCGGAAAGGTGCGAAATACTTCTTCATGTTGTAACTGACAGATCACACCTATACGGAATACGTGGCGGTGGAAGCGCCAACTCACCAAAATCGGGGTCGATATTTTGTCAACCAAAGTTTCTTGTGTTATTAGAATACAGCAACGCGTACTTTAAGTAATAGAAGTTGAAATCAAGGCTTTATATTGCTTCAAATATTATCATAATTGTTAATTATCGGTTTAACCTTGACACTGGTTGAGCTTGTTTTGTCTGCCATGTTATGGTCACCCCTATTTACAGCATGGACTCGTCCTGGGCGGGAAAGCTGAAAGACTGGTAGGGCAGTTTGGTGCGGATTTGTCTGTAACTCGTGACGGCGGGTCATGGAGGTCAATCTGATACTGTACCACGGTTACGTATAGCGTACGTGTAGAGTTGAAATATTTTCTAGCCAGTAGTTCTTTTTTTTCTAATCAGTGCAAAGTGAACCTGATCTTAACATCGTATATCGATGATTTTCGGTTCAATATAATGTCACATTAATTCCCCTAGCTTAATTACACTCAGACACAGTAACCGTCGACCATATATGTAGCATTATGATAGACTCATACCAACTAGTAACTTTATTATTTGCCATACACTGTACCCGTGACAATCATTGTGCAATAAACTTTGACTTGACTTGATTTGACTTGTAAATAACAGTAGCTCATTTCGACTAAAGAAATGTGCGTGCACATAATTCGAGTTTAACTGTACTCACTGAAAGTTAATCATACATACATTAAAGTGATCCTTAAATTACTGAGAAGTTTCGTCAGTTTGATAACGAACTTCTACATTTAAGTAACTAAAACATGTGGGAGAAACGAACCGGATTCCTTAAGGAAACGTATAAAGTATCATAATTGCAATACACACGGTGAAGGGGATACTTTTCTTTTGTTCCCAGATCCCTAGTTTGACCCATTGGGCAGATCGTTCAGCGGATAATTAGTATGGTACTGCCCTGAGGCGTATGGCTGTGTGCCTTTCAAACCCTTCCATTTGTCGATTGCACGCGAGAGGTTTAGTCTTTGGCTTATTTTGACGTGCTTTTACTTATTTTTATCGGGTTAACTCTTTTGTACTGGTATCTTTTTCATGCCAGCCAAACGATTTGGATACTGTCCGTGAATAGTTTCATCAGGTTGGTAAGTCACTGACTCAGTAAAGAGTCTCATTTTACAAAACAAAGTGTTTTATTCACAGCCGACGTTTCGGTGACCGTCTGTCACCTTCCTCAGGGCAATTCTGACTGGATCACATTGCACTGCAGCACAGGTGTCGCTGCTATTTGGATACTGGTTGGCAAATGGATAGTGCCTGGCCAATTTTCTATGGTATCGACAGTAGTACATGTAACTGCAATACGGCCATTTTTCGTAAGGCGTAAACAGGCCTTTTTTATTGGCTTAAGCTTCGTCATCCGTAGGCAGTCGCCCCCAAATCATCGTAACTCGTAATCAGTACATTAGTCGTAACCCGTAACTGGTCGTAATCAGCTCTGAGAATTTAACGTAATTCGCAATCAGCGATGAAAATTTTGCGTAATTCATAATCAGTAACGCCCCCCTCCCTCCGCTCGCTATTAGGTATAGAGGGCCTGCATGGGGGGGGGGGGTAGTGATTACTGATTACGCAACATTTCGCCGCCAATTACGAATTACGTTGAAGCCTCAGAGCTGAGTACAACTTTACGCTTTGCAGTTTATGTTCTATTACGAATTACGTTGAAGCCTCAGAGCTGAGTACAACTTTACGCTTTGCAGTTAATGTTCTATTACGAATTACGTTGATTTTTGGGTAGGCTGCCTGCGGATTACGAAGTCTATCAAAAAAGGCCTGATTACACCTTACGAAAAAGGGCATGCAGGCCCTCATTATACTGCTGACACAGTCAAGAGCCCATCGTAAATCATGTGGTGTAATGAGTCGAACAAATTGGCTAACATGGCGCGTTCAGCTGAAGGCCTGTATGACCTGCGTGCCATTGTCTCACGGCCTGGGGCTACATCCTGCAGTGGAAAGAGACCTTGCAGTGATGGGTTGCGAGTGGGAGGGGGCGCAACGAGCCGCGCAAGACAGGAAAAGATTGAGAACAATGATGGCCCGCCTCAGCAGTAGCTGATATGCGGTGTAGTGGTAGGTAGGTAGTAGCTATATAGTCTCCACCAGACTTCTTTTGCAGGCTAGTTGAATAAATCGTAGAAATCGGCCTAAAAAGGGTATTAATTGGCGAGAGAAGGTAGCCGGCCAGAGAAGCTCCATTTGCCTGCCAGGCTACCTTCTCTCGCCAATTAATACCCTTTTTAGGCCGATTTCTACGGTTTATTCAGCCTGCAAAAGAAGTGTGGTGGAGACTAGGTAGGTAGGGGCTAAATCTAACTTCCAAACAGATCTTTTGGTGGCTGCAGCAGAGAGTATCAAATTAGCAAGACGGCACTATCAAATTAGTTAGATAGTACCATACTGGGAATACAGTATCAATATGAAGACTAAACTTTGCCTACACTGGAATTCGAATGAATTGGGACTTTCCAGTGATGGCAAAGAAAATTTAGCTCTTTACTTTCTAATGACTTGTATCAACACAGATGAACTTTTATTATCAAAACAGTATCAAATGGGCAAGGCAGTATAATTGACAGGGTGGTATCGAATTGGGAAGACAGTATATGAAGTGTAATACAAGACACAACAAAACGTATGTTTATATGTTCTTTGCTTATTAGTTTATCAAAATCTTCCTTCCGAGTTACGTACATTAAAGAATGCGTAATGTCAAAACAACCAGAAAATGACACCAAATTCCAAACATCAAACTTCCAAAGTCCTGTAAGTAACACACCGTACGTTTAAAAACAACCTTCACAATTTGTTCTAGTATATAATATATTCAGCCTGCAAAAGGAGTCTAGTGGAGACTACCCACATGGGCTTATAAGAAACCAAAAGTCACATAAACATAAGTACAAGATATAAATCCAAGTCAAACTTGTAACAAGCCCTGCATGCTATACATAGGGAATCCATATTGAAGACTGCGGAGATACTAAAAACTCCTGAACACTGTGTAGATACTAAAAACTTTTTCAAAATGATTGTAAAAGTTCATACCTCTCCCGTACTAGCCACCCACGAAAATGTAGTTAACATGTACTTGGTACTAAGCACAGTTTCCATATAGCCTCCGTATCAGGCTTATAGAACTGGGGGTTTGGTGGTCTTCGGCTGTTTTCTGATCAGCCCAGTTCTAAAAACGGGCCCGGGGTAATTCAACCAGGCCGGCTATGTTGTCTACATGTATATGCAACCAGAAAATAGCACATAAAAGCTCCCAAAGACCCTGAAGACCCCCCCAAACCCCCAGTTTTTGGCATGCTATGGAGGCTAACAGTTTCCATAGTTCTAACACGTGTAGCAATCCAATGTACAGGAGTAGAATCCATCACAGAACTTGCCGTGATGTTTTGGGGCAATGCCGAGTTTCTTCAGGCAAGTGCCGACGTACACATCCTCCAAGTAGAAGTACTTTGTAGTCAGGGAGGTCTCGTACAGAAGCTTCGGCATGTCGCCGGACATGACATAGGCGAAGCCGCGGGCATAGGGCGGATACATGTCGCGTGGATACTCATCTTTAGGTACGTACCGTTGCTGCAATGGCTCACGAGCGGGCTTTTCGTCCGTGTTGACCCAACCGACCAGTAATTTGGTCGCAGATGCGGGCAACTCTTCCAAGTAGTTCACCAAGTTTAAAATGTTCACGAAAATGTCTGGCGACGCTTTCAAGACATATTTGGCGTTGGGACAGAACCGCGAGGCCCATTTTAAACCCATGACTGTCTTCAGGGTGGCATTGCGAGGCGTGTCTGCAAAGTTTTCCTGAATGATGTCTCCGAATAACTTATTCTCGTCTTCCAAAGCTTGTTGGACCTTTACATCCCCGCTATCGCCGACTGCGAAGACTGTCCTGATAACCACCCCCGGTACGCTGGTCTCGTCTCCCCATGTTTGCCTGACGGCCTGCCTCTGTGCCTGACCCTCGGGCGGTGTGGGCACGATAATCAGAAGGAACACATCCGAACTCACGCATCGAACCGGATGGTTTAAAGTGAAAACGAACGGGTGCGGGTTCGCGACTTCATGCTCACTTCTCGACATGTTTGCCGTCGCAGGGAGGACGTCTGGCCGGTCAATTCCCTGCAGCGACCCGCCTTCAGACGTGATGAGGTACGAGTAGCGCTGCTGCTGTGTGGAAAACACGCACAGCGAGGCGACCAGGGCACAGACCACAAGCACTACAACCATGGGAGCACACTGCAGCTGTTTCCCCATATCTGCTAGCTTCTGTGTCATTCTGAAAAATACAATGTCGAATGACTAACGATACACTGAACAGAAAACAAGAAACTCTTTAAAAAATCAGTTATTTTCCTTCCGAATTTTTCCCTGGTAGAGACGGTCCCTAGACTTCATGGTGCGCAGACTTGAAATAAACTGAGGTTGAAGATGTGACTTTGTATTACTTCTTTCATTTTCATCTGATTACATTAGATGTCAGTTTCATTAAACAGGTACAAATGTGTCATTGAAAGTTCCAAGTTGCTGTGTTTGTTTTTTCCCAGTTGCTGGGACTTTACTGTGTTGGTCCCAGCCCTGGCTTAAGGGGGCACACCCCAGTTTATTTTGGGTCTTAATTCGATTCTGCATACCCTCAACTCTAGCGACCGTCTCTTTCAGGAAATACCTCTTGAGGCAAAACACTGTGTTTGCAAATGAAGGATATCCCTCTAGCTACGAGAACAATAGAATTTCAATTTCTTTCACCTCTCACATTTTTGTAAATTTTAGGGGGAAAAAGAATTTTTCGATAAAAAATGATGCCAAAAATTGGCCATTTTCACGTGGAATCAGACCCATCACCCAGATTTTAGCCACTAATATGATTTATATGGTCGGAAAGAGAAAACCCTTATGTATTATTAAGAAAAGTATAAAGAAAATCCTAACACTGAGATTATCACAATAGCCCGTCGCGTGAGGCATAGCGACAGCACCCCCCGAACGCATACAACGCATATGTAGGTCAAACCGAAGCACCGCACTGAAGGCGGAAGGGCACCCGGAAGTAAGCCTCGGGCCCCGGAAATCAATTTTCACCCAAAACACGCCACTTCTTACACTTTCCAGCCATGTTAGTAGTTAATACCATTTTGCAGCAGATTATGAGAAATGTAAACTCAAACATGAACCAACGGAACCCCTTCGTCACTTTTTTTCCGGGCACTACAGCGGAAGAATTGGTGTGTGCACCGTTAAGATTGTTTTCCAATATCGTGGAATAGCCTTCCAGAGATAGTGCTCGACGAGAAAATTCCTAGCATCATTTAATTTTAACAATAGATTTTGTGCGATGAAGAATCCGACTTGTTGAAAAACATCCTGAATTTGTATGAGACCAGATTTGACCCAGTTCTTATAAAACAGTGTTTTGCTGCCTAGTTTTATGTGTTGGTTACCCCATATTTCACTGGTTGTCTGTGGCGCCTGCTTTACCCCCCCCCTCCCCTTCACCTGCTAAATGCCAAGCCAGTATCACATTATTGTAAAAAGTTGGCATAACAGAAGTTCTGGGCAATCATTTTTCAAACAAAAATTCAACCAGAGTAACAAGTCATCTTCACCACATTCATCTAAACAAATGAAACTTAACACCCTGCTAGTTACTTAAACATCGAGTGCTAGCGTCAATCGGGTTCACATAGACTGCTCAACAAGACTTTGCACCACAAAAAGGTGGGACTTACCCAAATCTTTGACTGTCCAGCTCCAATCTTTGTCACGGAATGAGGAGCCTCCGACTTCGGTTGCATTATGTTACACGGATGGAGCACGTGACTCGGTGAGCAGTGGATTCTTGGAAGGGAAATGGGGACTAACATCTGTAACGTTATATCTGCAGAACCGGTATAACTGGCCTTTTGTGTGTAACACACCACGCAGCTTCGCTTGAGCTAGTTCTTTTAAGGTATGGCGAAAGAAAGAAAGAAAGAAGAAGAAGATATGTCGGCGGCATTTGTGAACGCTTGGCGCTAGCCCCAACTTCAACCGGCCGGTAGCGCTCTAAACTACGATGGAGTAACGAACTAAGTGTAGAAATCACATATCAGACATACCATGCATGGTGTAATGACATGTTTAATCGAATCTCTTGCGTCCCTTTAAAAGCTGGATTGATTTGTTTCACCTGCGGGACTGGAACCCCCTCTGAATTTTCCTTTGAAACCCTCTCAAAAACGACGAAAACGTCATTTAAGAAGGTTCAATTTTCAAAACTGACCCCCCCCCCCACACACCAGGAAGCTCGCGACCTCTGCGCTCGCTATACAATACGGATATATCGAAAGAACACACGATGTACAATGTACGGGAAAGTGCTTTATAAGAGCTACTGGATAGTTACATTGATATAATACAATCTATACTATTCAAAGCTAAACAATTTTGATAGAAGACTACTGGCTAGTTTTGTGTAAATTTAAAACTATACAGTATTGATACAAGACAAGATCAGGAGTTGTATGACTACTATACAGCTAGATTTGTCGATACTGTCTTTTGCCACCCTAGGATCTGCTAAGAGATAAATCTATTAGCAAGAGTCACAATAGTAAGGCCATGTTGATTTGATTATATGGATGACATCCGCGCGCGCATGAATTTTCGGCCGTTTCCCAAAAAAAAAGTTTTCAACCATACTGTAAATCGTGCAAAAAAGTTGCTAAATGAGCAAAAATATACAATAAGTTGCAAGGAAAACATTTAGAAACGATAGCAATGTCGTAGAATGCCAAAATCAAAGGAAAAAAGACAAAAATGTAAAGAAATGAATTCGAAGAGTAGATTATTGGCCATAACATATTCTGTGCCATTTGTTCAACCTTCATGACCACGTAGATTTCATAGTAAAAGCAACTTTTTTTTTGTCAAAACTTTTTTTTTATTCGCACGCTCGCATCAGTTTTCGGGTTCCCAGAGGATGTCATCCATATAATCAAATCAACATGGCCTAACAAGTAACAAGAGTCTTCCTTAACATCCCAGTCGTCCACGAACAAGTACTACTTTATACCAGTCTGTCACCTTCCTCAGGCAATTCTGACTGGTTCACATTGCACTGCAGCACAGGTGTCGCTGTTATAGATGCATTCTCAAACGTGAAATATTTACATATCTACACATATACGCGCACGGCTACAGGGAATTGTATCTACATTGCGGTCCCAAACGTACATCATTCATTGTACATGTATACATTTTCTAGGCATCGTCCTAGAATCCCCTCCAATACTGTTAATGGCATCCAATGCAATTTCAGGGCGTCAAAACTCGGGAGGTCGTGGGTTCGAACCCCGACCCGGGACCAGGGGTTTTTATCTGTTTCTACTCGCTCCTCCTGTTTCTTACAATAAGGCAATCTGTATGATATATACTGATATACTGATATGACACATACTATCCTACATTAGCACATTTGAATCAGTATTTCACACGTTAGGCATTTAAAACTGCAGAAACAAGCCCTAAGATGAGTCCTTTATTTTCTGGGTGGTACCCTAAAAATCAGTCCCGGTCCTTCCAGCAACCGTTTTGGCAGACTTTTTGGCATTTTTCGCTCTATGATTAACAAGATACACTGTGACAGTGTTGTTTCAACTTAGTATATAGATAAGTAACAAGAATGTTGACTTTAAAAAATCTAGTTTCAAAGCCCTTAAATCTGCACTGGTCTGGACTGGACGTCCCTCACCGTCCCACAACTCCTGACAGCAGCCCAAGACAGGAGGACCTGGCTACACTCCTGCTGCAAAGTCTGCCTTGTCCCCCCGACGACCAGTGTCGGTCATGGGACTAGGTAGGTAGGGTAGTAAATCTGCACTGGATGTCTTTAACACGTGGATGTAATCGCTGACCAAAACCTCTTCATTTTTTCAGGCGAGTCGACAAAGCGCGAAGCGATGAGCCACTTGTAGTGGCAAGAGTCTACCTCAACGTCCCAGTGGCAGAACCCACCGTGGTGGCGTGGAGCGATGCCGAGTTTTTCCAGACACAGACCGAGGTAGATATCGTCCATGAACAGGTACTTTGTAGTCAGGGACGCCTCGTACAGAAGCTTCGGCATGTCGCTGGACATGACATGTGCGAACGCGCCGGCATATGCTGGGTAGGTGTCCCTGGGGAAGTCATCCATGGAGACGTACCATTCCTTGTCTTCTCCCTCAGGATCGCGCACAGGCACAGAGTCGTTATACACCCAACCTAGCACTAATTTCCTCGTCAGAGCTCCGCGTAGACTTCTCAGGTACCTAACCAAGCTGAAAATGTTCACGAACGTGTTGGACTCTACTTTCAGAACGTATCTAGCGCCGGGACAGAACTGGGAGGCCCACTTCAGCACCATGACTTGTTTTATCGTGAGACTACGCGGCGTGTCTGCGAAGTTTTCCTGAACGACGTCTCTGAAAGTTTCGCTCTCATCTTTAAGAACTTGTTGGATCCCTACATCGTCACTAACGCCGACTGCGAAGACTGTCCTGATCACCACCCCCGGTACGCTGGTCTCGTCTCCCCAAGTTTGCCGTATCGCCTGCCTCTTTGCCCGGCCCTCGGGCGAGCTGGTCACGATAATCAGAAGAAACACATCCTGGTCCTTACATTTGTCAGGGTTGTTCAGGGTAAAAGTGAAGGGGTGGGGGTTCAGAACCGGGAATTTGCGGGTTCTCATGACGTTCTGGGGTGAAGTGACGAGGTCTGATTGTCGCCGGGAAGCTGCGTCGACGCCATCTTGCTGAGAACCTCTCTCAAGCAGCGTGCCTTCCATGGTGCGGACCTGATGGAATGAATGTACATATACATTATACACGTGAAAGATATATGTATATATATATATAGATATATATAGATATATATAGAGAGAGAGGGGGGAGAGAGGCAGAGACAGAGAGACAGAGAGAGAGGGGGAGGGAGAGAGAAGGAGATAGATGGATAGAAATAAAAATAGATAGAGAGACAGAGAGAGAGAGATAGGTACATAGATAGATAGATAGGTACAGATAGATATCTATGCTGTCTGCAGACTACAACAAACAGACACATAGAACATAACATAAGAACGACCACCCCATCCAAACTATAACCCCCTGCCCCATCGTGGAAAGCTCAGAAAAGAAAGAAGAAAATGGATATACAGGCTAAGTACGGACCTGTTGGTTGACTAGGTAGAACTCGTAGCAGATGGTGAGGAGTAGAGCGGCCAGGACGCAGCTGAGGACAGGCGGACGGGGGATGTTCCCATGCCGAGCGGCCAGCACGAAGCTGTTGATGTGTTTGTTTATTTTGTCCATTCTCTCTGGATACGCTTATTTCTACCCTGTGAAAATAGTAATTAGATTAGATTAGATTAGACTAGATTAAACTTTTCAAGTCTAAGGTCAACAAACATCTGTCCTCACTGTCTGTACAGTAACCCAAAACATTTTGAGTGGCTGTCATGAGCATTGTTTTCTGCATCTGTATCATTCTGTATAGCCGGTATAACCACCCTTCGTAACACACCAGCTTCGCAGGCACAATAACATAAAACAGAGTGAAACTATGAATAGCGAAACTGTAACAGTGAATAAAATAAAACTTACCGTAAGTTTTATACCCACGTAAACCGCCAGCCCGAAGCTCCACTCTCTTTAAAATGATGTGAATCAAGATCAAGACAACTCATGTTTTCCTTCTGGGTCAAAGTTCACAGGGGTACTACACCTGTCGTTTAGGGTTGCACTTATGTGATTGTTTCAGTTCTTTGTTTAGTTGTTGTGGCTCTAGAAAACACACGTTAATGAAACATGTATGACTTACACGTAAGAACCACGATGTTTGAAGGGAAATGAAAATAGCATAAAACAAAATTGCAATTGTACAGATAGATTCAGATGTGGAAAAATACCCCACTTATAGACGATCAGAAAGTAGAACAACCTGTACTACAAGACGACAGGAATTCGAACAAGGGCTGTATTGTCTTCTTTCAGAAAATGGGTAATTTGAGAAAGGCCTATTTCATATAATATGTCTCTTCCACCTGATAAGTTGGTTAAGTGTTGGCCACACTTCAGGAAATTCAGGCAATTGCCATACCTCTGATGTACAATCTATATATACATAGGAAATGCACAATAGTATGAAATGTATACTATAATTTTTGTATCCAGCTACATGTACTTATTTATCAACATTTTTATTGTTTTCATTGGAATCTAACCTTTACCAGAGGAGAATTCTTTATCTCTCTTGTCCCTGTCCCTCTTTTTTCTGCATTTTTACTGTCATATCTTGTATTTTGTAACATTCCACTCATTGACCAGATTTCAGACTTGTGTGACTCCTGCACTGTAGTTCCTAAGAGAGTCGATAGGTTCGCTGTTGTACAGTGTGAATTGTAACCCAAAACATTTTGAGAGGCTTTCACGAGGCTTATTTTGTGCTGAATATGAAGTAAATAAAAAAAAAATATTTACAAAAGTACGAAACAATAGTTTTCACTGATGCCCGGTTTATTTATATCGTAGATTTGACACATTGCAGTAACAAACAAACCCTGTATGTTTATTTACATTTACTAGTACTAAGTACATCACACTTAGTGTATTTCACTGTTCACAACAATCGTACAAATAGATTATCCCGAATTCACTAGATATGGATGAAAGAACTGGACAGTACATTACAACAAACCTATATAATAAGGTCATATAAACTCACTCAAAGCAGTCGTCTGTATCAGCTATTCTATACGACAATATGCCATACCTTGTCACGGCTTCAGTTCTATCAAGTTTTTTTATGTCTCCTTGCTGACCGCTGAACAATCAACGCTTTAAAATTACCCCTTTGCGAATTTCATACACGAAGAACCTATTTTCGGTTAGGGATGTCCCTCAGATAGGACTTTAAATGGAGGTCCCGTGTTTGAGGAGAGCCACACCCCACGCACGTTATTAAAAGAACTCACCGCACTTATCGAAAAGAGTAGGGGCCTTCGCGGTGTTCAAACCGTACCGCTTGTACTTACATGTACAAAACTGGTGTGTTACGCCTAAAAAGGCGGTTTACCGGTCATGTGAAACAAACAAACAAGAACGCATTTCTGTGTACTAGTATGTTGTTGTCCTTTACATGATACTTCGGCACATCGTACGTCATATTCCAAAAGATCAACAGAGGATTTTAAAATACATGATACTTAAACATCGTGCATCATATTCCAATCATAAAACCAAGGGTAACAATTCAGTTTCCTGTCTGTTGGAAACGTGGCCTTAGTTACAAACACTAGTTCACAGACGATCTGACACCTTTCAGCAGCTAGTGAGAGTGTTCCACAGGTACCACATGTACTCATAACGTTTCACCCAGTGACTCGCCATCAGCCAGTCGAACTGGCACGAGTCTATGTGCGTGTACCACGGTATAAACCCTCCCTGGTGTACCGGCTCGATCCCAAGTTTCTCCATACACAGACCCAGGAAGGCGTCTTCTAAAAACAGATACTTGATCGTCTCAGCAGTCTCGTATAGAGTCTTGGTGACGTCATTGCTGATGACGTAGGCGAACCCGCAGGGGTAGTTGGGATAGGAGTCCCGTGGGTAGTCCTCGTACTTGACGTACCACTTGTTCCACTGACTCATGGGATCGCGGATGGGTTTGGTGTCCACGTACACCCACCCCGTGACGTAACGCGTGACGCGGGATTTCAGTAGACCAATCAGGTGCCGCGTGACGCTGAAGATGTTGACGAAGGTGTCGTCATCGGCTTTCATGATGAAGCGAGCTTTAGGGCAGTACTGGAACGCCCACTTCCAGCACATCACCGTTTTCAGAGTCAAGTTGTGGTAGGAGTCGACGAAATCTTCCTGTATGATGTCCTTGAACTTGTTGTTTTCCTCCACCAGGGCGGCTTGAGCTTCCTGGTCATCCGTGAGTCCGACGGCGAAGACCGTTTTGAAGACGACGCCGGGGATGTTGGACTCGTTCCCCCAGGTTCTCCTGAAAGTTTACAGTTTTATTCATACAATCAGCCTCGTAGGTATATGAACAACAAGCTTCTGATAATAGTTTTGGTAGTTTGGTAAAGTATAGGACATAAGAGTTTTCTTCTACACAACCAAATACTCGTACCTTGCTTACGTAAGGTATGAGAATCATTGAAAAACGCCCTCAGGTGATATGTATTTCCTGGATAAAGAAATCAAACAAACAAACAAATCTCTGACCTCATTCTCTAGTCTTAATTTTAACTTGTAATTGTATGAAATCTGTCCTTTTGTGTATACTGTATATCTGTTTTATGTATGTATGTTTGTCTGAGCCCTGGAAGATTATCCCCAAACAAACAAGTGCCCACCTGATGGTCTCCCGCTCGACCTGCCCCCGGACTGTGGTTGTGACCAGGATGAGCAGCAGGACGTCTCCGTCTCCGCACTTGTCCGGGTTGTTCAGGATGAAGTTGAAGTTGTGCGGGTTGATGACCGGGTCCGGAGGTGCGGATGTCGCGTGGAGAGGCGGGCTGAGAGTCACGGCAGCTGTGGCAGCGCTGGTTGATGCCGGCTTTGGTGCGAGAGTGGTGTTCTTTGCCTCCGAGTCGATTTTCGCCGAGGAAATGTTGCTGTCAAGATCTTGTGGTTTATTCAAGTCGACAGAACGCTCTTCTTGAAGATCCTGTGGTTTACTCAAGTCGACGGAATCCTTTTCTTCAAGATTCTGTGCTTTTCTCAAGCTCGAGTCGACGGAGTGCTCTTCATTCGAACGTTCGACTTGATCGCTCAGGTCTTGAACGGATTCCTGCTCCTTTTTCGCGGCGAGGCTTCTCCGCACGACGTCACGTCCGTCTCTGATGACGTCACTTCCGTCTATGACAACGTCATGCCTGCCTCTGATGACGTCACTTCCGTCTCTGATGACGTCACGCCTGCCTCTGATGACGTCACGTCCATGTCCGATGACGTCACGTTTGTCTCTGATGACGTCACGTTTGTCTCTGATGACGTCAGGTTTGTCTCTGATGACGTCACTTCCGCCTCTGACCAGCGTCATCTTCCTCTCTAGTCGGTGCATGCGCTCTCGCAGCGTGTAGAGGTGTAGACAGGCTAGCATCAGGCCGAACAGCAGGGCGGCGTTCAGGCCGGACCGGAGGTTTCCCAGCTTCAGTCTCAGTCCCATGTCCTGCTTGCTCAGTCTGCCTGTAAAGTAGACTGAAACATTTCTAATTGTTAAACACATTGAATATGTAAGCAGATCCTAGGGTAGCAAAAAGACAGTATCAAATTGGCCAGGCAGTAGCCATTAGCCAGAGAGGTTCGAATTGGCCACCCAAGGTGGGGGTAGCGACAAAAAAAGGGGGCTATATATAAAAAGGTAACGATCTTCCCCCATCAACCTCTGCTTGGAGAGTAAATAATACGCATAATTAGACAGGAGTCGCCTACCCTGGGAATTCTAACACGGATAATTGAAAGCGCTTTCAAATTATTAGAAAGAAGCTACTAATTTTTCGGTGGACTGGGTAAGGTCAGAATCTCCCTCCCAGTGGGCGATACCAAAACTAGGGGGTAGTTCCTAAGCTTATTACACAAAATGGCAATATACTGAATGATTCGGTTGTGACCAAGAAGGTTATAGTGGACATATCATCTCCCATAACCTCCGTTTTAACTGTTAAACTGTTTTATAAACGGTATATTCAATCATCCGCACTCTCAATCTCCATATACAAGGAGGGTCGGTAGGAATTTAATACTAGTAGGTTAAGGACTTGTAAATCTACGGGAGGGTGGGAGAGTGGGTGTTGAAAACACGTTTGGTTGGTCCGGAAACTGGTTTGTAGTACCCCCCCCCCCCCAAGGTTCAGGGGTCCTTTGTCGTATGATTCAAACGATCCTATGGTCAGTGATAACGTGCATACGATAAATTTAGTTATAGCATAGATTCATATGTTTAACGTTTTGTCATTATATGTGGTAAAACATGAAGTTACAAATAAATTTCAGACGATAAATTTCAGGCAATTCGACACCAAAGATGGTGTTTAGTAAGATTTCAAATTTCAATTTTTCAACATAGGCAACATGCGTGCGATACTATAAAATTCTGCACTGTGAACTGTTAGGTACTTCCTGCAATTCTACTACTAAAAAAATGCTGCATAAAATGTATTATTCTCACCTTAGTGTCTCCAAGAACTTGGCGAAGAAGGGAAAAGACGATGTGAGAAGAGAAAAGAACACCAGAGTCAACTCTGAATCACCACCTGCCACTCCCTGTGTTAACTTACTTGTCTGTCATCCACTCACAGTCATACTTGTCTTCACAAGTTTCGGAACAAACCATTGTAATTCAAGGGGTAGCTTTATACATGACTACAATAAAGAAGAAATAACTCTTCCAAAACCTACTTTACAAATCAGTTAAATCAACGCTTTTCTCAGGTCACAGGTATTACATACCCATGTAGGTATCATCATTTGAGCTGTATATGTTATGTTATATATTACAGAAAACGCAGGGACCTCCCTTGGGGTGCTTAATGTAAAACTCCCCGATAGAACCAGAACAAAGGACACTTGTGAGAAAACTGGAAGAACAACTTGAGGTTACATTGGAAGTATTTTTGGGCCTTTCCTTTTTCCTACTAAAAACAAAACGGCCCTGTATCAAAATAAAATACCAAGAAACTTCATGACTTGAACGTTGGGTGTTCAAATCACAGAAAGGGCACACAAAGTTTTGAGGCAGTAAAGTCATCTACAGGGGCTAGCTAGAGTTGCGTAACACCCCTGCAAAACTAGTGGAACATTCCAGGGTGCGCAGCTTTTAAAATGACAATAATTAGACAACACCCAGATAGACCCGGAACAAAGGGGACATAGATAACAAGAAAACTAGCAGAACAACTAAGGAACCTTTGATTTTAGCAATCATGTCATGACCTGCATTTACATGGATTACAAGTATTTGTGAAATCTCTGCTTATTATTACTATGATTTGACATCTCAGCCCTTTCCCGAATCTTTTCTTCTTTTCTTTTCTGAATAAGGCCAATAAAAATTGACAACAGAAGGAAATGTATTATTCTTTATTGTCCTTTGCAACATACAACATTGGATACATCGAGGCACACTTTGAGATAGAGCTTTGATAATAGACATCTGTATCAGTTTCTGGTAGCAACATCAGGAGCAACAACCTCACACTGTGACGGGTACTCTAGAAGTTATGCTCGTTTGGTACTTAATACTGTTTTACTGTGACATACAAACATATTTTATTTACAAAACATTGTCACATTATCGATGGAGGATATATCATCAATTCCCCCAGTTACCCTGAGTTATCTGTATCAGTTAAGTTAAATCACACACGCATAAATATATAGTTCATCATCATATTGAGTTGGTAATATATAACTACGACTGACTGTCCAATCTCTTGTCACATTTTTAACCGTGCAGCACGGCCCTGTCTGAAATGAGAAGTATAACCAGCCAGTATTAGTGTAAGGTGACAGGCGGTCACCGAAACGTAAACTAGCTATTCACACTTTGTTGTGCGTAAATAACTACTTTGCATTCCTAACATCTCTTGCTGAGCACGTTCCAAGCTCTGAACATGTCCTCCGGAGTTTTGAACCAATGAGAAGCCAGTTCTTTGACAGAGGTACATGAGTTTGTCTGTGCCTTGTATATCCGAAAGCCGGGCTGGTGTGCAGGTTCGATTCCCAGTTTCTCCAAACAGAGCCCCACATATGCATCCTCCAAGAAGAGATATTTCACAGTCAGCGACACTTCGTACAGCGGCCGTACCACGTCGCCGGACATCACGTAAGCGAACCCGCAGGGGTATTTGGGAAAGGTTTCTCTGGAGTAGTCCTCCTTGCTTAGGTACCACTTTTTCTGCTTCCCGACTGAGTCTCTAATCGGTTGTGCGCCTGAGAAGACATGCCCCATCAGTAGTTTAGTGGTGTTACTTGCAGGCAGATGTTTCAGGTATCTCACTAAGCTGTAGATGTTCACGAACGTGTCGTCGTCAGCTTTCATGACGAACTTGGCCCCGGGGCAGAATTCTGACGCCCACTTCAGACACATGACGGTCTTCAGGGTCAGATTTCTGTACGAGTCTACGAAGTCCTCCTGGATGATGTCTTTCTGTACCCTGTTCTCGTAGTCCAGTCCTCGCTGCGTCGCGGCGTCGTCCGTTCTCCCCACGGCGAACACCGTGACGACGTTGACGTCGTGACGTAACGTCGCGTTGCCCCAGGTGTGACGTATGGCGTGCCTCTGGGCGTGGTTGTTGGGCGATGACGTCACGATGACGAGAAGGAAGACGTTTTTTCCCGCGCATTTCCCAGGATGGTTTCTCACGAACCTGTAAGGGTGCGGGTTAACGATCAGCGAGTCACTTTCACTACCACTTTCACTTGCGTTACCCCTGGCTACCGGTACTTCCGAAACACGACTTTTGCTATCTGCGTGCAAAGTCCGCCCGCTAGTTCTGACCCCACTGGCAGGTGCAAGACCCTCCACGTGATGAAGTTCTCCCCTGACGTCATCGGCAATGTCAGAGGTCAAAGGTCCTCTGATGTCATCGGTAGTGCCAGAGGTCAAAGGTCTTCTGACGTCATCTTTAGTGTCAGGGGTCAGTCGACCCTTTAGTTCTCTCCTGCGCTCCAGACGGTGCAGATGTCTCCGTAGCAGGTACATGTGGAAACACCCTGCCGACACGCACACGAGGAACATCAGCTTCAGGGTCACCCTCAACTTCCCGCGATTCATGGTGATACCGAATGTAGCCAGGTCGCTATTTCTGGAAAGAACACGAATGTATAATGTATTTATTTATCGGGACTTAATTGTTTATTGTTTACTTCAGGCATGGAGCTAAAAAAGAGTCTTTTAACTCCATGCTTCAGGCTCGCTGGTCCATATATTTACCATCACATAACATTACACAAACACATCTAAAAATCATTTAAGTGTTTACAGAGCATGAGTGGAAAAATTGATGTTGTTATGTGATTGGATCTTAATACTGTTGTGTGGTGTAATTAATATTTCCTGTTGTTTTGTGCAACATTTCTTTTTGTTTTGTTTCTCAGTAGCATATGGAGAGTTGAAAAACCGGTTTTCCTTGCAGATTTCCTTTCCATACAGATGTCCTTGCTTGCAGCATGCAACCTTTCCTTCACGCCACACACAAAGTTTCCGTACTGCGTTCACTTGAATCCAATGAATTTTCGGAACCAAAATCCTCTAAGGATGGAGCCTCAACTTAATAACAGCTATTCATGTTTCGTTCTTTTTTTTCCAAATTTCTTATAAGCATTGCTTCAAAAAAAGGAAGTTCCCAACCTTTGACCCTACTTCTGATCTACATACAAACATGCACAATAAAGCTCTCCATTCAGTAGCATGGATTAGATACAAAATGTACATGTATAGGTCATTTGAATAAATAATGTATAATACATTAGCCCGGTCAGAAAATTAGGTTATGGATCAAGCACACTCTCTTTTGATTCAATCAAACAAAGAATAGAACACAATCATCGTGATGACATGAAAGTTCGCCAGTGTGAACCTCCTTTTTTAAAAGTCAGTACGAAACGGACATTCAATGGTACCAAAACTTTACATGGGTTCTGAACAATAGATCTAGTGGTATCATCTACACGATCAATGCAGTGTTGAGACTTGCTCAGGTACCTGCTAAGGTACTTGCTCAGTGTCTGTACGTCGATGAAGGTTAGACATCCAGGTAATAAAATACGCCAAAAAAACACTCAAGCAACTAGATATGATTTTGGAAGCGTTTCAAGTAGCATCCACTACCTTTCCTCAGTGACACTAAAGAGTTGTCAGAAAAGCAGGTTTGTAAGTACGAACCATTGATTGATATGCAGTGTCGGTAGATCAGTGTGTCGATTAGAATTTAGAAAACCGTACCGATGTTACCCACCTTCCTACCCGAGAGAGTCGGTCTGAGGACTCCTATGTGTGTCCTTTCTCTGTCCTTGAGACTCCGTGTTGCTTGTAACATCTACAGTCGGGCATGTAAGACACCCCGGAGACTAAACCTGGAACTCAAAGTGGTTGTCCCAGTTGTCTGATCACGACTTGGCGTGAGTTGGGACAATGTGCGGGATGTACCATTGTTCTTTTAGAGGTGATTATTATTTTTTTAACAAAGGTCCTTCACAAAGTGAACAGTGTCAAACAGGCACTGAACAGAAGATGCAGTTCAACACTTGCGCTGAATCATTGTGAAAATTGCTACGGACAAAAGCGAACACTGTGGTATTCGTAAGGAGCGACCTAAATAGTGGATTGACCCTGATAATCCTTACTGCTCCCCCATTTGAAAATGGTCTGATCCCTGTCGTCAACCAAAATAAGCAGTTACGTCATATTTTTGCATTTCTATGTTTTCCCTACTCTTCAAGCAGAGGTTGTGGGGAATGATCGTTACCTTTTTATATATGGCCGTAACACACCAGCTTTTGTATCTGTATAGCCGGTATAACTGCCCTTCGGCGTAACACACCAGCTTCGCAGGTACGCGGCGCGGCGGCAGCTGGCTACATTACACCGATCGATTTGTTACACCTAACCCTTGAACATATAACTCTTGGCATTGTTTAAAGCTATCTAATGACAATCCCCCTACTGTACTTGGTGACAGCGAGTTTGACCTAATTTGGGAGATTATTGCCGCCATCGCGTGCAGGTGATGTGATAATCACAGGTGAGAAAACACCTCACAACAAAACAGGCCGATCAGGTACACTCTGGGGACACATCAGGGGTCAATCCATCTCAACATGTTTTATCCTACTGACCGAGATGGATTGACCCCTGATCTGTCCCTAGAGTGCGCCTGACCCGGCCTGTTTTGTTGTGAAGTCTTTTCACACCTATTTGGATACTGTCTGGCCAATTTGATACATATACTGTCTTTGCAGCCACGCAAAGATCTGCTTGGATATTTTCTCACTCTTTCTTTTTATTAAAATTTAAAAAAATTGAACAGAAAACATGGCACGTACACAAAATACTAGTGTGTAACACAATGTAAATCAATCATTTATTCACCAGATGGTAACCTTAACGCAAATGCTACACTCTCGGACGACACGCGTTTATAACGAGCCAAAACTTCCACATCAGACCCTGCTCTGACACCCCACGACTGGCCAGTAACCAGTCCAGACCACAGTACTTCACGTCAACAAATATAGGATAAAACCCGGTATGATGAGTCAGCTCTATTCCTAACTTCTCCGCACAGAGTCCCAAGAAGACGTCCTCTAAGGAAAGGTACTTGACCTTGAACGACACCTCATACAGAGGTCTTAGAACATCGTTCGACATGACGTAAGCAAACCCGCCGGGGTATGTGGGATACGTGTCTCTGGCGTACTCTTGTTCACTGACGTACCATTTCGGGATGAAAAACGGATCCCGGAGAGGTTTGGTCCCGCTGTAGGTGTAACCCATGATCAGACGGGTAGTGTTGCCTGCATGTAGATCCCGCAGATGGTTTACGAGGGGAATCAGGTTCACAAAAGTGTCGTCTTCTGCTTTGAGCACGAACTCGGCGTTACCACAGAACTGAGACGCCCACCTCAGGCACATGACCGTCTTCAGACTGGAGTTCCGGGGCGTGTCAGCAAAGTCTTCCTGCAGAATGTCTCTGTGTGCTTTGTTCTCTTCTGCCAGAGCTGTTTGGTGAGTGATATCGCCCGCTTTGCCTATAGCGAAGACGGTCTTGATGTTAACTCCCGGCATGTTGGTCTCCTTGCCCCAGGTTTTACGCACGTCGCTCCTCTGTCTGGTGTTCCCGGCGGCTGACGTGACCATGATGAGCAGAAATACGTCCTGATTCTCGCACTTGCCGGGATTGTTTATAAGAAAGGAATACGGGTGCGGGTTGATGTCTGCAACAGTCTCAGATCCTTTATCAGTGTCAGGTCCGTGTTGAGACTCTCCAACCTTCGCGCTCTTGTTACCTCGACGCTCGTGTTCTATGGAATCTGCCATTCGATGCTCATGTTCTATAGAGTCTGTCCTTCTATGCTCATGTTCTATAGAATCTGCCTTTCGGTTCTCATGTTCTATAGAATCTGCCCTTCGGTTCTCGTGTTCTATAGAATCTGCCCTTCGATTCTCGTGTTCTATAGAATCTGCCCTTCGGTTCTCGTGTTCTATAGAATCTGCCCTTCGATTCTCGTGTTCTATAGAATCTGCCCTTCTATGTTCGTGTTCTATAGAATCTGCCCTTAGGTTCTCGTGTTCTATAGAATCTGCCCTTAGGTTCTCGTGTTCTGTAGAATCTGCCGTTCTATCTGCCCTTAGATATTCCTTCTCATCTCCATGCTCCGTACCATAGAGCTGTGAGAACCGCTGCTCGAGGTGACTGACCCTGTCCTGCATGAGGTTAATGTGAAACAGCACCCCTGTCAGAGATATCAGCAGGACGGCGGTCATGGCTCGCCGGATCCGGCCGGGACTCATTCTCAGGCTTTGGAGTTTGTCTAGAAAAGTAAATATATTGTACATACACACAACGTCCAAAACTGAAGCTCACCCACGCACCCCTCCCACCCATTACGCACCTTAAGGTATCTCCGTTTGCCTAAATACATGGAAGTTGTTTAGCAGTTATTGCTCCCACCAGCATTTATTAGATATGAATATCGTTACTTAAGAGCGTTCTATCCCTATTAGCAACACGGATTTGTCACCAGATTGTCAGGAAAATGTAAAGCTTTGCATAATTAAGACAGGCAAATCTATCTATGTTGCCCAAATTACTGGGTTAGAACTCTGTGTCCCAAGTTGTTACTACCAGTGAAGGAATTGCGTCAGACAACTTATTCTTAAGAAACGTTGACGTTCTACCAGATACGTACGTGATGGAGTGTAGAGGCGGACTGTTGATACTGTATCTAATTCTGCAGGGTCTTGGAAGGAATGACCAACTGTATAAAGACGCCTGGTACACAAGCGAAAAGACAACCAAAACCTAACAACTTTGTTTTTCTCTACAAATTGACCTTTTTGGACGAGACTACTTTTGGAGTAGGGGGATGTTTTACTGTTCTGTTTAAAAGATTTAGAGAAATCGGTTTGCAATAATATCTTAGAATGTTTGTTATTTTGTTAGTTAGTTAGTTAGTTTGGCTGGGAACATAGATTTAGAAACCTGAAACCAATTGTTTGTAGCCCTTCAAACAAAAAGGTTGATCGGTTTGCTCCAGATAACACACTTTTATTGTTTCTTTCAGTGTGTACAAGGGTTGCCGCTGTTCAACCGGTTTATTTTCTTAAAAGGGTGGGCGTGTCTACAGAAAGAAAAAAAAAGATGGCTGCCGCGCGCATAGTTTGTATTCAGTCGATTAATTTAGGCATGTAATTTTCCCCTTGAGAGGATAAAAAGACTGTAACAGTACTGCCTTCTTGTCTTTAGGGTTTGTCAAAACGCGTCTACTGTAAAACTCACCAACCATCATTTTGTAAGGTTTTATTTGTTGACAAATTTACTAGCCTATGCCAGGCTTCAGAAGCGACTGGAAAGAGAAGAAATTCGCCAAATAGACAGATAACACGGGAGTTGGTCCGCTTAAGGAGTGCAGTTTGCCAACCCAATCCCCATCCTCCCGAAAAAAACTCCCTTAGCGGACCAACTACCAGCCACTGCCTCTTTCCAACCGCTTCTGAAGCCTGGTAGAGACTACAAAGTCATAAGGCACACCTTTGACATCGTCTACTGACCTACTTGAGTCATTTTAGACAACAATAGCAAATAAATCATGTAGATATGAACCATTATTATCAACCCTATTGTTGCACACGGGGAAAGCCCATCTATTAGTATGAATTATTAATTATCATACTAGTATCACTTGTGGTTTCCTGAAACCCTGCCCCAGTCCGTAGGCTTTTGTCTGCTTAACTATACCGGGCCCAGCTGTGTACCAGCCAGGGTCTTAATAAACGATTACCGCTTCTGACACAAAAGCACAGACAGGACAAGTGCTATGTAAGGGTATTGACCCATATCTTGTATGGTTCCCAATATTGAATGGCATTCAATGCTTGTGTTCTATAGAACCTGCTCTTCGATGTTCGTGTTCTATAGAATCTGCCCTTCGATTCTTGTTTTCTATAACATCTGTCATTCGATTTTCGTGTTCTATAGAAATTGAAGAAAATTTCACAGACGTTTTTGCGATATTGTTAACGACAGGATGAAAATATCATCAGGTTTCGCAAAATAATCCAGCAAAATGATAAAATGCCAAAGTTCATTAAATTCACAACATTTAGTCATCCGTTGAATTCCTAGACTAAGTCAAGTGTTTTTGTTCAAGGGGCACAATCTTATAAAATATGATTGTAATTACAAAGTTGTATTGTAGCACTTTAGCTAGTTAACAGAACAGTCAGACGTCAAAGAGTTCCACATGTCCATCATAGCCTCAGGTTCTCTCACCCACTGAGAAGCCACCAGCCAGTCAGTGTTACAGGACTCCACGTCAACAAACCACGGGTAGAACCCAGTGTGATGTACAGGAACTATCCCCAGCTTTTCCAGACAGATTCCTACATACACGTCTTCTAACAACAGATATTTTGTAATCAGTGACGTTCTGTATATGAGATTTGCTGTGTCGTTTGTCATAACGTAAGCAAATCCTCCAGGGTACTGAGGATATATTTCTCTTGAAAACTCCTCTTTACTAACGTACCATCTATCTAGGAACCTTATATCTCTGACTGGTTTTGTTTTATTGAAAACTCGTCCTGTGATGAACTTTGTGACGTGAAGGTCTTTTAAAAACTTCACCAGACTGAAAATGTTAACAAAGGCATCATCATTGGCTTTTAGGACGAATCTAGCTTGGGGGCAAAACTGTGCGGCCCACTTTAAACTCATGATGGTCTTCAGTGTTCTGTTCCTGTGGCTGTCAATGAAGTCCGCCTGGATGAAGTCCTTGTGTAGTTTGTTCTCGTGCTCCAGAGCTTTCTGTAAGACGGCGTCTTCCACTAACCCTACCGCGAACACAACTCTGATACCGACACCTGGAACATTCGTCTCCTTTCCCCACGTCTGACGGATCTCATACCTCTGTCTGTGGTTCAGATGTCTCGTGGTGACTATGATGAGAAGAAATACGTCTTCACCACCCTTACACTTGTCTGGATTGTTCAGTACGAATGTGTACGGGTGAGGCCATGGGTTATTGTGAGAAACATATGAAGAGGTGCTACTAACTCTATCCCTATTGGAAGCGTCTCTATCAAACACATCTTTAGAAGCGTGTAACGCTAGTCCGTTGTGTAGGTCCTTGTGTTTTGGATGTTCAAGTCGCTGGGACAGACTGAACCAGGCTGTGACCACACATAGGAGCATCACGGCGCCTATATACCCGTACCAGGCACGGCCATAGCGTAAGGTGCTGATCGCTGTTTGTAGCTGTCTGTTCCTGACCTGTGGGAGCAAATGTACAGAATGGTTTGGATGACATTCTTTCTAACTCTTTTTCTCTCTCTCTCTGTTTCTCTCTCTGTTCCTCTCTTCCTCTCCCTCTTTGTATGCCTCTCTGGACACATGTTACGAATACGTTGGCATTGTATTTGTGCATTGATATACCTTACACAGTAATGAAACTGGTGAATACTGTTAGAAGTATGTAAATGGATGTGATATCTTAATATAACTCTGATAATGTCTTTCTATGGTTTTAGGATGGACCAGTATACGTACCATTTCATACCGTGAGTTGTACTTGGCTGAATACATCGTTGTGTATTTCATCTCAGTGTCACCTGAATAAAGAGTACAATGTAACATGTCGTTAGAACTGTTTTCGCAGGTAATAAAATACATGTAGTATATTCACAAACACGACCAGTCAATGAATGTTTCTTTTGAACTAATTGCCAACCATAGAATCAACATAATATGACGAATATAGCCTGTTTATGATTATACACATTTGGTTCAGGATGAGAGTACCAACCCAACCGGCTCTCTAACATGGCTTCTTTTGTACACCAGTATTTTGGGGTAAGGAAATGTTTGATAGCGTTTAGTATCTATCTTCTGGTCATACTACAAAATGGCTGAATAGAAAGTAGCTGGAGTGTTGTTCACTGACACATGCAGCTTTTAAAAGTTGCGTGTTACAATTATTTTACTAGCGTTGCCTCTCCATATTCATGAATAGAAACCTGTCTGATAACCTACTTTTCCTGCATTTAGCTAAAGTTCGCTTCAGACTTAAACGTTATATTAGTCCTTACCTCAGGACAACCACTTTCTCAAGTCGTCACAAACAACACAGAAGATTTGGTTTTTTGAGGCCAGCTGTCAGTATGGAGAATTTCTGAACAAAGTTGTAGCTCATTTTGTGTTGACACTTTCTTTGACACAAATTACTTTACACAGCTGACAACTACGCAATAGTTTCGTTTGCCATTATGTTTAAGGTACACAAATAGATAAACTTACCATTAGTCAGAATACCTTTCTCTGCAATCAAGAACCTTGAAGTACGTAGTTAGGTGTTAAAGTGTAGAAGACGTCAAATAATACAGACAGTTGTCTGAACACACCCGGAGGCAATGCATGTGTCAAACAGGGGCAAACCATTCATTTTCTGATGGGGGGGGGTGCTGAAAAAATGCGAGCGAGAAAGACTTCACATAACTAGAAATTAGCTCAACTGTTCTTGTATCCCGTATCTTGTGAAACAAATCCAAAATCTCACAATTTTCACGCGTGTCGGCCAATGCACGGTACAAACACTCAAGCAGAGACACACTGACACGGTCTTCAAGCAGATATTGGAAGGAAAATTGTAAAGTTTTTAGTTATAAGTAATAATTTCCTTCCCCCCATAATAGATTAAAGAACTACACGTAGTTGTCTATTGCTGAGGATGTTAATGCAGTAGCTCTTATGGAAGTTATATAATATTGTGGATCGGAATAAACTCCAACTGAACAGAACAGAACAGATCATGAGCAGAAGATGAGTGAGCTGATTTAACTTTATTAGTTATCTTTGGTCTCAATGTTGAGACAGATACATACATGTATGTCCCGTTGGACGTGACTATAAATAAATTCATCAAAAGGCAACAATTTCAGTTAGAAGTCACTGTTACATTTGGCAGCCTTATTGTTCAAGACGTCTGATACTCTACTTCATTCATTCATTCATGCATTCATGCATTCATTCATTCACAGGCGCTTCGGAAACTTGCGAACAGTCCGCATTTCGGTTGGCCCAGTTGTTTAGCATGACTTCGGGGTCTTTCACCCAGTGAGAGGCCAACGGCCAGTCAACTTTGCACGACGGAATGGGCACGAATTCCGGAAAAAATCCGTCATGGTGCACCGGACTGATGCCCAACTTCTCCATACACAGACCGATATACACGTCTTCTAAGAACAAGTACTTGATGTCTAAAGCGGCTTGGTAAATCTTAAGTACAGTGTCATTAGACATGACATAGGCAAACCCGGCAGGGTACTTGGGAAAGACTTCCCTAGGGTATTCCTCTTTGCTCACGTACCATTTAGGTATAAAGTCAGGATCTCTAAGCGGAGCTCTACTCTCATACACCCAACCTGTTACCAAGTCTGTAGTACCGGAGGGTAACGTCTGTAAGTGTTTCACGAGTGTAAATATGCTGACAAAAGTGTCATCATCAGCTTTCATGACATATCGTGCCTGTGGACAGTACTGGAACGCCCATCTCAAACACAGGATTGTTTTTAAAGTCAGGTTTCGGTAGGAGTCCAGGAAATCTCCCTGCACGATGTCTTGGTGTTCGGCGTTTTCCCGTTCAAGCGCTTCCTGTGAAGTTTTGCTTTGAGGTTTTCCTGTGACAAAAACGGTCTTGATGGTGACTCCGGAAGCTTCCGTAACGTTGCCCCAAGTCTGGCGAATCTCATACCTGTTTCGGTGGTTCTGTGGAGCAGTAGTGACGAGAATGAGCAGGAAAACTGTTCCGTTCTGACACGCCTCGGGGTTGTTGATATCTATGGTGAAGTTGAAACTGTGAGGGTCCACAGATACAGGCTTGTGTGGCGGATTCTGTACCGAGCTGCTTTCATTGCCGTGCGTTGAAGACAACTTTCTGTCCAGCTGTTGTTCAAGATGTTCTATTCTAAGCACCATCAGATATAGACTAAAGTAAGCCGCCATCAAGGCTACAACTAACAGGACCAGCCTGTTGTGACTGGTGCGTATTCTCAGCGCCATCTTCTGTCCTCTGGCCATATGGTGATTTACTGAAGAAAAAAAAGAGAGAAACAAATGGTTGAATTTGACAACTAGGTAAACGTGTTTGTAGAATTTTTAAGAGAGTTAAGGTCTCGTAACTGTTGAAATTTTGCATAGGGTTAGCAGATGCAGACACCAAAATGAAACAACTACACTGCCAGAAACATTGTAAAATGTAGCAAAATAGGCAAGCGTAATAATTTACCGGGCTAGGGAAGTTTGGTCACCATGCCTGCCCGTGCAGTTTCAATGGAAAATGTTTAATACCCTTATTAATTCTTCATCTTATTCATCTATTAGGTTTGCCGAATTCTATTATCCATAACCCCAAATAATAAGGTGCGATTTGCAAATAAACAAATTATGTACATCCCTGTGTTTGAGAAATCTTTCCGAATAATTATATAATTGTGGCCCAAGGGATCTTTTAACAAGGAAGTAGTTGTAAGACCGGATTTCAGTTCCCATGAGTGTAATACACTACAGGACAAGGGTGGTTGTATTAATGTTTCCAAATTTGAGAGTGCTGCGTTGAACGATAACTACAAAACAGACATAAAAAGCCTGTTCAATTCGTTATAAACCATACATCTCCAAAAGTACAAGTAAAATGAATCATGGAGGTAAAAAGGGGATTTTTTTACCTCTCTAAATATATTACTGTACATAATTGTCACTACAGGTATGACTTCACATAACGAAAGTTATCATGATAATTCTATACACACGGCAGAAAAACTTCCACTTACCTATATATGAGGCAGGGAGTCACTAGCACTATCGACACACTAGAGATGAGTCCGCATCATGTACTAGTACGGGTACAGAAGAGAGTTGTCTATTAAACCTGGACTCTTCAATGAAGTTGTCTTCGGCCATGTTAATGATTATTCATGGCGGTTTTGTGTTCATTTGAGGTGCAACCAAAATCACGTCTCGCTGAAAAAAATCGAGTTTTGCTGACAAAAATATCTCATTGAACCGTTCCTTCCATAGGGCCTAATAGTACGCACACGAAACTTCGGAGACGTTAATTTCAACCAGAATGTACAAGAAAGTATTCCAAACGTACTTTCCATCAAGGCTTTCCGTGTAAAAGAATAGCGCTAAAAGAAACCTATATCTGTTTGGAAATAATTTACTTAGTAGTATTTCTAACGCGAGGCATAGACATAGTACACTGTACAATGCTGTGATCTGCAGTAACAATGACAGTCGCTAGGGCGCCTGATCCCGTAACCTTTGACCTGTAAGCTTGTGTAGCTGTGTGCGCCAGTAGCTAACCTTAAAAAACTCGGTCGTGTTCTCGGTTTTATCTTCGTATTTAAGGTAGGAGACACAATAACGAAACTCATTCACGTTTCCATCAAGTTACCTTTTCCCTTAAGAGTATGTAGTTTTAATTTAAATGTTTTGGAAACATAGTTTTTACGCAAAGGACGTTATGGGGGAGGGGGGCATAGTTGTTACGCAAAGGTTCCCGCTATTAGGTATAAATAAATGTACTTTTTTTGCAGAAAAAAAAAAGAGACGACAATGGCTGCAGGCGTGCTCACCTCGCTACAGAAGGTCTTTGTTGTCGCAAGTGTCGGTAAGAAAAAACCCTATGCTTTTAGATATGCATTCAACTTGTAGCAAGCATGTTTTCCGTAAAACTGCATAAGAGACCCATCATCGATCAATCAAACCAAGAAAGTAAAAATTAAGTTTAAGTTGGGGATGTGTCTACCTGCACCTAACCTGGGCCATGTACATTTGTATTAGGGTTATACATGTAGACCTGTGTATCATATGTTGATCTTGCATTGACTGTTACCACCTATAAAGTACAGTATAAAAGAAATAATGGTTGTAGTTTTTAAGCAGTTTTTACTATAATCCTAGCCTGGATGCCAGGCCCACAGCACACCAGGCCAAAAGTTATCCAGTGTGTACATGTGCACACTAATCCATACTTGTGGTGCAGGTAAATTTCAACGTTACCTGCACCACTCTTGGTATGTAGAAAGCATCTGTATCTGTATAGCCGGTATAACCGCCTTTCGGCATAACACACCAGCTTCTGTATCTGTATAGCCGGTATAACCGCCTTTCGGCATAACACACCAGGTTTGCTGGCACGTGGCGCGGCGGCAGCCGGCTACATTACACCAATCGACTTGTTACACCTAACCCTTGAACTTCTAACTCTAGACATTGTTTAAAGCTATCTAATGACAATACCCCTACTGTACTAGGTCTGACCCTGTACGGTGGATGGGTGGTAGGCTCGGTGGCCTCACACATGTACAGAACCAGGGATGAGCGGAGAGAGAAGGCCCTAGCTGCAGCACAGGCTGTCCAGGGGCCGGTCACACAGACACCAACAGACGGACAGACACAACAGGTACATGGGTGCTTCTTCTTGTTTATGGGTTTAGTATAGTAGTAATCTTGGTGGTTGCAAAAGACAGTATCAAATTGGCCAGGCAGTATCCACTAGCCCTTTTTGTTGTTTACCTTTGCAGAAGGAAAACATTTTCTTCTTCCATACCAAACATTTAAGTCAAAGACCTGGACCAGATGTCTGTCACCATGGTAACTAGAGCTGTAGCAATACCCTGTGTTGTTGGGTTATATTATGTAGCAGAACAGAGTTGGAGAGCCTGCTCACTCTACATATTGATGTATTTGGCTTTTAGTAAGAATAAACAGTGCAGTGAGCTGGACCATGAGTAAACATAATGCATTTGCTCTGTCGAAAAACCCTCAAACTTTATAGTAGTTCAGCATAGATGAAAATTGTCATTTAGCCAACCTGGTACCACCCCATAGTGTATGCTAACCCTAATATACCAGCATTTCAAGGCTTTTACTTAGAGCTGGTAGAAAATCTATATGTCATGTGATACCATTTCCAAACACTGACATGTTTTCATCCTTCATTTGCAGTGACACAAGAGGCAAAAATGCGTGGCAGAACCTAGTGTGGAAGGCTTACCACTTGGAAGGACTGGAAAAGATGTGATGTCTGTTGCAAAAATAGTGACCATTGTCAAGGGAATTCTGTATATACATGTACGGTTGTGTAGAGACTCAGAAACAAGTGATTAGAACATGTTAAATCTAATGTTGCTGATACCCTTACTAGTAACCATCGTAAACTTTTGCAAAATGAAAAAAAAAGGCTTTTTGTGTAATGCATTGCTTCTTAATTATGTCAGTATCATGTACCCAAAAGGAAATACATATATCATTTAATCTTTATTTCAACTTTTACAAATAAAATACACATACCATCACTTTTTCTACCAAGATGTCTATTTTCCAGTTTAACAGTATTGAGGTTGAACATGGGAATTTGAAACCTGTCATTTATTGCACTGTTAAGAAAAACTTTTAGCACAACATTTAGTGAAAATTATGAGGAAAAAACAACACGTTGAAAGGACGGATCTCGACACAATCATATACACATGCAAGAATAATTAACAGTGAATAACTCTGGCAAGGAGAAACAATTTACAATGTACAGTTTCCAAAATAAGATTAAATAAGATGTTATAAATACAAACTCAACAAATAGATAACAAAAAAATCACATTACATATAATACTGAAACTTCATGCATTCTGTTTATTTTTTATTCTATATTTATGTTTGGCCATGTGGCCAATCAAATTCATGGAAAGAAAAAGGCACGGTGGTTCCTCCAATGAGGTGGCTTGGCACTGTTGCAGCTTATTTATGATTGGCTAGCTGACTAGCCAATCAGATAACAGGGAAACCATACACCACGGGGGCTGCACCAATCAGGTGCCTTAGCTTGTAGGCCCTCCATGATTGGTTGACTGACTAGCCAATCAGATTACTTAACATGTACAGGGAAACCATACACCACGGGGGCTGCACCAATCAGGTGCCTTAGCTTGCAGGCCTCGCGCGATTGGCTGACAAACTCCAGTAGTGAGGAGTTTGAATCGGAGGTTAGCCAGGATTTAAGGAGAGCTTGGAGAAAGCGGTCGATGTCACGGTCTGTCACATCCCACAGGTTGGCTACAATACTGGGGCTGGGCAAACAAACAAACAAGAACGAAACGTATGAAAAAATTCTGACGTAAAACGTGACATTACCTTGCCATCCACCATGTAAAATATAGTTGAAGGCCTTTGAACTACTTTTACACTGGTTCAGCTGTACAAAAGACAGTCAGGGTTGCCCGACTAGCTACAAGACTACATGGAGACAAAGACAACAAGCTACATAAGATAAGGACAGGACATTAAAATCAGAGTCGTCAAGTCATTACATCGACAGGATTTCTATACATACGTTGTAAATACACAAGGGCTAAAACTAAGGAGCACTGGGACAATCTTTATTAACTTACCACCCAGACAGTATATAGTTGAGCGCCATGCCGTGTGCCTCGGTGCTCCCCTGCACAAACATTTGGTCCTCAGAGCTCCCCAAACAAAATGGCAATTTGGCTACCATTCTCCATTGGTTAAAGGTTTAGGCAGCAGGCAGAGACTACTAATATCTTGTGACCCTAACTTACCACCCAGACAGTATATAGTTGAAGACCCTTACTTACCACCCAGACAGTATATAGTTGAAGACCCTAACTTACCACCCAGACAGTATATAGTTGAAGACCCTAACTTACCACCCAGACAGTATATAGTTGAGCGCCATGCCGCGTGCCTCAGTGCTCCCCTCCACGAAGAGCCGGCCGCTGCCACAGCCCATGAGCAGGGTGGTGGCTCGGGTGGTGATCTTCTGTACCTCATCCCCCTTCAGGTACACCTGCCCTGCACCATGGCCACAGTACCTGAAGAAGGGAGAACTTTCCTTCATTCATTGTTTGGTTGGTGATGGCAAGACATCCAGGTAAAACATTAATGTGTACGACACAAAATAATTCAATCAACTGGATTAATTATACATTTCACATACATGTAGTATCTGCTATCTTATATCAGTGTCTGAGAATGAGAGTTTCTTTTGTATTGTATTTGGCTTGACAATTTTTTGTTTGCTTGGATACTATGTGTACCCCTTGAGCCTTGAGGTGTGCCTCTCCTCAAATATGGCACCTCCACTTTAAGCCCCCTCCAAGAGTATGTCTTAACTTAGTTTAGGTATTCATTTTCACTTTGGCCAAATAGGGATTCGGATATTGGTGCAAAGGGCCATTCCTAAAGGAAAAATTCATGTACTGGGGACTTTCAGCGATGGATTTCAAACCCAGAACTTCTCCACAGACCATTTTCCTGTTGATATGTCAAATGGTGTAATGACGCATACAATACCTTCTGCTATAACCCACGGACTAGAGGTTATAGATAAGAAAGATAAACATACACAAACATGTCGTGGTCTGTGAGAGCACTGATGTACTGTTCTGTGGTGGGGGAGACTCCGGCCACCCCATTCCAACCTCTCCTGCAGAAATACAACACAAAATTAAAACAAGTTTGTATTATATCTTATTCATTAGCCTCCAAACATATAGGAGCATGGAGATACACAAACTGATATACAAAGTCTGGTAAAACTTGTTGGAGCGACAAACTAGAAGCACTGCAACCTAAGCTACACTGTGTAGTTGACTTGTTGTTATACAGACAATCAGATGGCAGCCTCCACCACAATGGTTTGTATAGAGGTATGAATCAGACAATGTTCCCCCAAGCACATGCACACACATAACCAAACACATCCACAAACAAACAAACATGTAAAAAATTATCATGAAAGTTCATCTGTGTTGGTAGAAAATTTGATCTCTGTGTAATCCTTGTGTTGGAATAAACTTGCTTTGAGTACTTGGAGTAAAGTTCAACATTTTACTAAAACATGTGAGTAGCAGTGTCCACTCACTTCTTGAAGTCGTCCTGGAAGTAGGCCTGAGTGCTAGCCAGGTCGTTCCGTGGGTTCAACACATAGTATGTGTTGTTTTGGTCCACACCGTCACACAACACATGTCCTGGGACAGACTGGAACAACAAAAGGCACAATTCTTTAGTGTGTAGATGAACCAACTCTATGATATACATGTACATTCATGTATAGAGATACATAAGAAAACTGAGTTACTCAAGCAAAAAGCAGATTTTTAAAACTGTCAGACGTTTCAAGTAGCATCCACTACTTTTCATCAGTGATCTGTAGTTGAACAATAAATAAAATGTGAATTGATATTCAAATGAGGTGAAGACAAATGTGAACTACATGTAGACTTGTGGTAGAAGAAGTGCGAAGAGTGAGAGGAGGGTGACATCAGATGCAACATTGTCTAATTTTCCAAAGCATCCTGAAGTTTTGACCTACCCTCATGGTGTGGAGGTGGGACAGGATGAACCTGAGAGACGGCATGCGGGACACTTTGCCCTGCTGTAGCAGAGGGATGCTCTCCCAGGGCAGGCGCTGCAGGGTCTGGCAGGGAACACACAGAAATATTGGTTCGGGTTAGACATCCAGGTAATAAGATACGCCAAAAAACAGTTACTCAAGAAACTGGATCTTCCGAACTTCCTAAAGCAACTTCCAAAATCATATCCAGTTGCTTGAGTAACTTTTTTTTAGCATAAACTGGGAAGCAACTTCTGAGAAAAGAAATCTGAGATTCCAAACCTCCCAGAAGTAAAAACAGTACATGATGATCACAACTGCTGACAATTTCAGACATCAGGTTTGAAACAGCAAGAAAAAGATGAGTGATGTCACAATCGTTATACACAACACAGGCTAAAATAAATTCCTGAAAGTATAGTGGTATTTGTCAGCTAGTGCCACACTGCAGTTAGAAAATGGAAGCTGGCACCAATGAAACCTGTAATGCTGTATATCATCACAAATAGAATTAGGTGGAATTCTCTGGCCTGTAAGATTGACATGTTATATGCTCTGTGCATAGTCATATTCTAACAAAAGACAGTCTTGCCCTACCCTAAAGAAGATTACAGATGTAAAATATAAAAACTCACTGGTTGTAAAAAAAAAAAAAAAAAAAAACGTTTAGTATACAATTGACAGTCTTGCCTTACCCTGTCCAAAACCAAGATGACCGGTCCCCTGTCCTGGAGGTCGTTGAGGTCATTGACCTTGTTGACCTCCCTCTGCATCAGGTCCAAACCATTCTGCAGGAGGGGTGAGCCTGCGGAGGTCCCCAGCAGGAAGGCCAGGGCGTCCTGTCTGTGTCGTTTCCTCAGGTATGACCAGGAGTCCATCAGGAGCTGGGCAGGGGAGGTAGGAGGACTCAAAATTTAGTTTGGGAACATCAAAATTCAGCTCAAAATAAGATTCAGGTTCAAGATTTAAGATGGTTTTACTGCTTTGTTACTGTAACAGTTTTTGTAGTATATGTCAGGTACCCAGACCTTGAAACTATTCAACAGGCTTTGCAATCTGACATGGATAGACCTTCCAACTGGTTTGTAGCCAACAGCTTGTCAATTAATGCTAGTAAGTGTAAAGCCATGCTTATTGGGACAAATAAGAGACTATTAAGAACACATCAACTACAAGTGAACATCAACAGGGAAGTATTGGATGTAGTGCCAGCATATAAGTACTTAGGTGTTACAGTTGACAAAGACCTGACATGGGACATACATGTTAGTACACAGTCACCAAAAGACCTATTGCAGATTTTTGATCAATAGGAAATAGATCAATCAAGGATGAAACATGATCCTACCCTAAGAAGTTGACAGTCGACTCTGTTGTCCGAGCCCAGAGCCTTGCAGACGTTTGCTGCTGCAGAGTTCAGCTGTTTCTCCCTCTTCTTGTCACCATGGGAACCGAGGACCACGCCCTTCCATCCACCCAGCACATCATTCTCCATCGCTTTGGTCAGGTCCTGAAACAGTCGAGGGTAGTTTGGTCATTACTTTTTGATAATGTTCTGTTTCCTCTCCTATTCCAAACACTAACCTGGTCAATGACCTGAACCAGACGTCTGTCACCATGGTGACTAGTGTTGGGTTACATCATGTTGCAATTTTCTAGCAATATACATCAGGGCCCATCACCCTTCATTGAACCGCGACGGGGTCGACATCGTCTACCAGACACCTTTGACCCAGTGTTGACGTCACACTTCAAAGAAGCCACATGACAAGCTTCACTGGGTCAGTCTACTGAGGAAGACCAGAGTGACTGGTCAAAAGCTTTAGCTATAGGTGAAAGAACTTTTTTGTGTTGGACAAAAAGTTTTAACTTTAAACAAATACCAACACAGATGAACTTTCATGATAGGATGAATACATGATGGATATAATTTATTACCTTGAGCAGTGAGTCCAGGTCCTGCCGTGCCTTCCAGTACTGTTTCTTGTCCTGAATGGCCACGCTGGTCTTGTTGTCATGTTGGATGGTTTCTAGTTTCATAAGTATCTCCCTTTCCAACATCGCCTGGGGGAGACAGACCAAAGAAAGATTATTGACATTGACAGCAAAGAGGCTCAGTATTCCATGTTAATTCATTTTGTCTCATACAAAAAGGTCCCATTCCACTCCATGCAGAGCATAGGGGTGGTGCCCATCTCCCTTTCCGTAGCCCTTGGGCGACACAGTTGTGCAAGCACTACAGCAGGGGGCTAGTCCGCTGGTAGTGCTGTGTGTTTCACCTTCCCACACTCTGTCTCATATGTGCTGAGTGCTACTGCTAAGCAGAGAAAGACGTGTGTACCATTTCAAAGTCTTTGGTATGACCTGGCGGGGTTTGAACTCATGACCTCCCGGTTACAAAGCGAGCATTCCACCAATTGAGCTATTGCACCGGTTGAGATAAAGTTACCTGAGAAATGGGGATCTTGACGATGAGGGGCTCACTGTTTGCCTGAAGCCTTGTGATGATGAGTAACTGCTGATTCAGCTTGTTTCCATGGCAACTGGGGTTGATTGACACAAGCGCCATGCTGCAGACTGTCCAACCTACGATGTAGAACAAATGTAAACTTTAGACTCAAGATTTATAACTAGAGAAGTAGCATTTTCAAAGCAAATACATAATGTTTACCTTCGGACATTGTCTGCTATGTTAATTCTTCCTCAAACACATTCACATACATGTACTACTAGTAAAAATATATATAAAATATGGTGACAGGAGCAGAGCAGACCATGAAATTGCAACATTATGTAACCCAACACCAGTCACCATGGTGACAAACGTCAACAAATCATGTCATTGGTCAGGTCAGAGTCACTGTTTGAGAAGAAGAAGAAGAAGAGGTAGAAACTGAACAAAAACGATATGTTTTCCTTCAGTAAACATAACAATCATTTTTTCCCTCTGCAAAGGTGAACATAAAAAGTCCCATAAAAGCCCACCCTCTGGTAGCTGCTTGGCCAGCACGTCTTGCATGTTGTGGGCTGTGTAGCTGTGTTCTGAGTGAGAGGCATGCAGGGCAAAGATGTCCTGTTTGTTCCGGAGGTGTTGGATTTTCCGCTGTGTTGAGGGAGCCTGGGTAAGAGAGAGCTGGTCCATACTTTCTGTCAGTGCCTGCATTTCAGCCTTCTGCAGTTTCCTGAGGAAAAGGAAAATAGGGGCTACTTATCATAGAATTATAACAGGGAAGCAATACAATGGACTAAGATTAATCCTGAGATAATTCAGGGCTTGAAATTCATTTTTGGGGATAGGTGCACTAGTACTCAGGTGCACCCAACCTGAAAAATTAGGTGCACAAAAAATTTTTAAAGCAGTCTTACTTGATCTTCTTGTGGAGACTGGCGATCATCTGGTGTCTCAAGGTCACACTGCAAGTCTCCATCATGTAGTACGCTGCCAGGCGGGAGCTGTCCTCGGGACAGCACAGGAACAGCAGCTGTAAAATCCTCCTGGACAGCAGGCTTGGCTGCGTGTGCTGTATCAGGAGGTGTGCTGTCTCCAAGTGTAGAGTGGCGTCAGCTATTGATGAGCCTGGAATGACAAAATATTGTAAGAGAAAGCACAAAAACAGCAGAGGAACAGCAGCTGTAAAATCCTCCTGGACAGCAGGCTTGGCTGTGTCTGCTGTACCAGGTGATGTGCTGTCTCCAAGTGTAGAGTGGCGTCAGCTATCGACGAACCTGGTAAAAGAAGTCATTGTAAGACAGAGGATGAATAGAGGCAGCACAGCAACAAAAGCTGTAAAATCCTCCTGGACAGCAGGCTTGGCTGCGTGTGCTGTACCAGGAGGTGTGCTGTCTCCAAGTGTAGAGTGGCATCAGCTATTGACGAACCTGTGATAATAAAACATTGTAAGAGGAAAAGAAAGCACAAAAATAATAAAAACAGGACAGGAATAGCACAGGACCAATCATCTTGGACAGCAGGCTAGGCTGGGTGTGCTGTATCAGGAGGTGTGCTGTCTCCAAGTGTAGAGTGGCGTCAGCTATCGATGAACCTGGTAAAAGAAAATATTGTAAGACAGAGGATGAATAGAGGCAGCACAGGAACAAATGCTATCCAATCCTGACAGCAGGCTGGGCTGTGTGTGCTGTATCAGGTGATGAGCTGTCTCCAAGTGTAGAGAGGCATCAGCTATCGACAAACCTGGGAGAACAAAATGTTATGAGAGAAAAAAATACACACACACACACACGATGTAAGCAAGATCAGTGACAGTGTGCTTAGAACAAGGTTTACAAGATCGCCTACAAGTCTTGTTGACCATAAATTTTGAGCCGTCAGGATAGCCGTATTCTGAGGCTAGATTCCATGCTACTCCCTAGGCCCTAACCACACACACAGGTGGGGGAATAGTCAGGAGTAAAGTTGTGAAATCCTCAATGTGTGGCAGGGGCTTGAGGTAATACATACAGTCACATATTCCTTACCACACGGTGTGATCCGTCCCCCCAGCACAGGCACTGCCTCCTGTACAGAGCTACTGGTGAGAAGTGTGGAGCCCAGAGTGCTGTCCTCCTCACCAATCTGCACACACTCTCTCAGAACCTCCACATCCTCTGTGGATGGTTTAGGTCGGGTAGGAGCCTTCTTGCCTCTGGCTGCTGTTGATGTCTTACTCTTAGCTGCCCTGCCTCTTCTCTGAAATTACAACATTAAGAAAGAATGAATACAGTCACATATCGATAGAGAAAGAAGCTAGAAAGCACGTCGGCAGAACATACTGTGTCAGTGCAAAACCCAGATTTTTAACTGGATTTATTATATTGCTGAATTGTTGGTCAATGTTGCATCAGAATTTTGCCTGCTGCAGACAATATGCTTTCCAACACAACACTGAAAACCATAGATGGGATGTCATTCCAAACCACCTCTAGACTTGATGATTCAACAAAACATTGAACGTTTAAAAACAAGATGTTCTGTCGAAGTGCTTAATGCACAATATGTTACAGGTTTTGCACGGGCATGTTCTGCCAGTGTGCTGAGCTAGACTATTCTGTGGAAATTAAGCTATCAGAAATTTAAAGCAAACAAGAGCTAGAGTAGCTATAGTAGGATAGATACAATGGTAGGAACTTTGGATTTGAGCACTACTGGTAAGAATGAAGAGGACTTAATATCAAACCTTGACGATGGGTGCACAGTCTTCTTCCTCACTACTTGCCCCTCGCAAAATCTCATCACCAGAGCTGTAGTCATCAATCGGCACTTTCTTAGTCACCCTTCTCGCCCGGGCTCTGGTGGGGGGAGCTGTCTTGGGTTGTCGTGTTGTTCTTCTAGGTTTGCTCTGGACAGTTGAAGCTTCTGAGTCCTCAGATGAAGTCTCCTCCTTGTACACCACTGATGCTGCCTTCCTCTGTGGTCTTTTCTTTTGTGTGGACGGAGCTAAAGCGATCGGCACGTCGCTATCTGAATCAGAAGTCTTTCCACGCCTGGCTTGAGTAGGCACTGAGTCCTTTGAGGTAGCTTTCTCTGTTGCTTTGGTACATCTTGGTTTCCTTTTCGTGTCAGTTTCGGTGACTCCAGCCTGGATTTTCTTCCCTCGTGCAGGTTTTCGTGCTGTTGTGTTTGCTTTGCTTGTGGCTGTACCTCTACCTCTCCTGGTCTTGGTAGTCTCAGGGCTTCCTACAAAAGTGTAATCATCAACAACTTTGTCCCTCATAGCCAGCAACGGGGTTTGCACTGGACCACTGATACAATCTTCATTTTTCTTGCTGTCTGGAACTTTACTGATGTCTTCTTTCCTGTTAAGGCTCCCCTTGGCAGGTGTTTTAGATGTGAAGAATTTCCTAGATGCCGTTGATGACTTCTTGACAGAATATTCGTCCGGGTCAGAGTCTGGGATGATCTCAGGATCGCTGTTGTCATCTTCCGCCTTTTTCTTTCTCACATCCTTCTTAGTAGAAGCCTTAGCAACGTATTTCCGTGATGTTTTCGGCTTGCTGACCACAAAGACATCATCTGAATCCTCAACTGAAATGACCTCAGGGTCAATGACTTCTGTGACCTCTGGCGAGTCAACCTTGATGATTGGTTTTCTGCTTTGTCTTTTCTTCGGCTTGCCCGAGGTGGCCGTTGTATCTTCCTCCAGTGCCTGCAAAGACCTGTACACATCAGACTCCTTTGCCTCCTGTTTCGTGGCACTGAAATCTTTACCTTGGCCAGGCTTGAGAGACAACTTCGCCATACACTTTTCAAGGTTTCCAACTACATCTGCTTGGTTGCTGGTGTTGCAGTTGAGCACATCAAAAGGAGAGCAGTTGCACTTGGCTGCTTCTTGGAGGATGGCACACAGGGCGGCGCTGTAGAGCAGATGTGCGTGTGTGTTGGAATGGAGGTGGATGGCACGCACCTTACCGTGAAAGAGGTTTAACCCTGCCTCGATGCTCGAGTTGGCTTTGGGGAAGTTCTCTTGCATCAAGTAGGCCTCAGACAGTCTGCAGTGCAGCAGAGCAAGCTGAGGGGCGAAGAATGATTCAGTGTTCGACTTCTTCTTTGTCTTGGTCTCTTTGTTCCTACCGTGGAAAAGAGCTAAGCAGAAGTCTTTCATCATGGCTGAAACACTAGTGCAAGCCTTCCCATGAACCTTCAGCGATGCTGAGGCCGTTGCTATGGCAACAGCAGGCAGGCCCTCCGACAGAGCGCACTCGGTCGCCGTGAGGAAGACGTCCAAATACGAGGTCTGGCTGGCGACGTCTTTACACGCCGAGCACGCGCACTTAGCACCGTGCCCGACGTAGTCCGGCAGTTGCATTGTGGGAAAGGACGGCTGGTGTTGCTGTTTCCCATAATCCTCTAGGTCGGAGTCTATCCCATCATCCTCTAGCTGCTGGGATACTGAGGCTGTCAGCGGTTTGCTTCGGATGAAATCGTCTTCATCCTCCTCCTCCTCACTCTCCAAAGAGTCGAACCCAAAGCAGCCGCCTGACTTCCTGTCTTTCCTTGCATCTTTCTTACTGGTAGTGACAGTAGTAGTCCTACTTCCTGGCTTCTCCTTCTCTACGGCTGTCCTGGTGTCTTTTCTGGGGCCGGGCGACTGCTCGTCAAATGAAACGCTGTCTTTACTGACACTGATTCTTGACAGGGAGTAGTCCTTGCTGAGAAGTGGTCTCCTGAGGTCTGGATTGTCGTCAGTAGATGTCTGAAGCACACTACAGGCTCCCTTCAGCAGCAGCTGGCAGTCTTCGGTCAGCCCGCGGTGAAGTTCGACCTCAGCTAACTTTGTCAGGAACTCTGCACATCTGAGGGAAAAATTTTATGGGGTTGTTAGAAACTTTTTCCTCTTAAAATGTCTTATTCTTATATCTTTTTTTTTCACTCAGATGACTTGTATATTCACTTTAGTCAACTACAAATTGCTCAAAGGGTTTTCTTCAATAATATTATATGTGATTGTATAAATAGGGGCGGCAAGATTTCTGATCCTGTATTGTCTTCTTTTTCATAAAAATACATGTGCAACAAGCTATAGATTATATTGGTATGACCTGCATAATGATTTTTTTAAAGTGAGAAATAAGAAATTAAATTTCTGTTACGCCAAAGGGCTGGTATACTGGCTATACAGATACAGAAGCTGGTGTGTTACGCCGAAGGGTGGTTATACCGGCTATACAGATACAGACACAGTGTCACTGAAAAAGGCAGTTATTCTGGCTATACAGATACAGAGATAAGGTACTATAAGTCACCTTCTGGGCAGTCTGAAGTTTGCGGCTATCTCCAGCCCCTCTAAGAAGTAGGACTTGGCCTCCTTGACGCAGCCCTGTTCGGAGTAGAGCCTGCCCACGTCCAGCAGGGAGATGAGGAAGTCATCACAGCACCACCAGGGCAGGTGGGGGTAACCTGGGGGGGGGGGGAGATATCATAAAAAGATTGTCCCGTAGCCATAGGGACATTGGGTTGTTTGTCCACCCTTGAACTTGTGTGCTCAGCTGAAGTAAACCAAGGAAAAAATTCATTTTTGTCTGCATACTAGCACAAAACAAGTTTTCCTGCACCACTTAGACTTTAGGTAAGTATGCATCACACTAAATAGTGTTCAAAAACCATTGCTATTATTTCTTTTACATTTCATTCAGCACAGTTAGATACAGGTAGATATCCGAAATACTGCACATCTCCAGTTATCTCTTGTACAATATTGCTACTGTATGTGTGCCCCAGAAGAGACCCAGTAACCAATACTCATGGCACCAGGAGAGGTGAGGAGGCAGTTACTGTCTGGTGCCGTATAAACAGGTAGTCTGGGCTAGAGAATACCTGCTCTGAGAACACCAAGCAAAAACCTAGTATGCCTGTGTCAATGTACAAAGCTAAAACTTGGTTCCAACATAAAAAGTTACTGACAAGGCCATACTGAATTAAGTATATGGATGGCATACTTTGGGCACCCAAAGACTGATCTGAGTGTGCAAGTAGAAAAAAAATTGACAAAAAAAGTTGCCTTCATTTTGAAATCTAAGTGGTCATGAAGGTGGAACAAAAATTTTCTTTTGACTTGGGAAGACTTGGAAGTGCAAGCAAAAAGGAATTTGAGCCCTGGCATCTTCTAATAAAAGAAAAAAAATTCTCTCAAGCTCTGTCATCCTTTAAGTACCCATAAAACAGTATTAGTAGTATGATCACAATTTGTGTGGAAGTCGTCTACAAAAATTGATGCACTCATGAATGTCATCCATATAATCAAGTCAGTGTGGCTGCTGTATGCCCCATATGAGCCCTTGTGACCAAAGCACTCCAGGTACAAGGGAGGAAAAAGGGGCAAGTTTGCTGTCTGGTGTTTCATAAACAGGTGCCTATGCTTCAGACAACCTGCTCTGTTAACACCAATTTATAGTCCACTCCATGATACAAGCAGACGTTTTGTGACAAGTTTAAGTTAAACTTTATAACTTATATAGGACACACAATAAAATTCAGCTCAAAAATGAGACTTAAGAAGAATGTAAGCATATCACAAAATACTGCTAATATGTCCATATAATGATATATACTGAACATTCTCTAGTATGATGTAAGCTTTTGTCACATTGGACATACAATACCCAACAACTAGTAAAAAACAACTTCAGAATCTGTTACAACTTCCAACTTACCTTTCTTGGTCTTTGTTGTTGCTTTAGGCCCAGACGTAGCTGAGACCAGCTGATCGGTTGCTCTCAGCCTCTCTCCAAACAGCAGTCTTGCGAGAGATAGTCTCACTCTGAAGGCATCGAACGCTGATTCGAAACAGCTTCCATCTGAAACCACCATCACAGCAAACTCACTCACAGGGTCGAAAATGGTAGCCTCCATAGTATGCCAAAAACTGGGGGTGGGGTTTTGGGGGTCTTCAGGGTCTTTGGGAGCTTTTATGTGCTATTTTCTGATTGCACATGTCTGGTCACCGTCTGACACAAAACACACAAACCGACAGTCACCCAAAACAAAACTTCCACAACTAACCACACAAACCTGCTCTGTCCATGTTAGCTTGTCCAGGGGGTAGCCTGAGGTAGAGAGACTGCACATGTCTTGCTTGGGCAGATAACATGTAACACATGGTAGAACACTCCTCCAGTATAGGGCTGGCTAAAACTTCACACACCAGCCTCCAACCAACACCAACCTGCAAAGGGATGCAGTTTGAGAGTTAGATATATCATTTTTCTGCAAGTAGATCTTTTGGTGGCTACAAGATGGCATCAAATTGGCAAGATAGTATCAAACTGGCCAGGTACATGTATCAATCACTATCCAATATGGGACCACAAAAATAGATACTAGTACCAATACAAAAGCTACGGAAGCTAGGTAGAAACCCATAAAAACTTACCCAAAGCCTGAACCTCTGTTTGAAAAGTATCTGGGAAACAATCAAACCTAACCTAAAGGTTTACTTGCACCGAAAAATTGTCTTTGAACAACATACAAATAAGATAACATTATACAGTAGGTTACTAGTACCTCTCCAGTGAGAAGCAAAAAGTGACTCTTGGCAACTTTCAACATCACCGAAGCCCGACTGTCTATCTCCAACTTTCCCAGCATGCTCTCTGCTTTGGTCAGGAGGTGGTCGGCATGACGACTGTTGCCATGGAGACACGCGCTGATGGTTGCCATGGCAACGGTAAACACGGCTTCTTCGTAGTTCTGCACGGCCTCCATTAGTGTAATCAGTAGGCAGTGTGCCTGGGCCTGGTGGTAAGGCTGAGGAGACAAGGAGTATTTGAGACATCTGAACTACATTGTGTTGAAATAAGAGATAAAAGTGGACAGATGGTCACTAAAGACAGAAAATTTATCTATGGGGCTCAAAATACCTACTCCCAGAAATGAATGTTGAGCCCTGGACTATCAAAAGGACTACAAACACATACATTGTTTGGCTATAACTTGCATCACAATGAGTAAAAACTGTAGAATAAATCTGGTCTGTGGACAGGTGGTCACTATAGACAGGATTCTTAATGCTGGTGTCAATGGGAATAATTATCAAAGGGACCAAGGAAAAGTGGTACAGCAAACCTTGATAACTAGAGCAATGAGCAGTGTAATGAAATGATCCATTGATTAAATTTAAATTGATCAATAAACTAAAAGGTCTACCTACCCTGCCTGCTAGTCCATACATGGATGATGTTATTTTTAGGCACTTTGCAGTGGACTCCACACTCCGCACTGCCGACAAGTCAAGCCCCTCCTTCAGCACAACGCACCAGTTTTCTAAGGCACAGTCCAGGGATGCCATGGCCACCTCTTCAGGGCCTAACTCACAGCCCTGTAGGTTGATGTTGGCTAGAAGCTTGCTTAGTGATGCTTCGTTCTCTGTGTAAGTCAGCTGCGAGTCCTTGTCCTTTTCTTTGTCGTTCTGATTCAGGGAGGACTCTAGCTTAGGAACCTGGAATATCACAAGGCAGTATGAGTCATGGAACATTGAGTCAGAACTAGCAAAGAAGACTGATAAAATCTGGTATATTTGGACAAGTGGTCACTATAGACAGGATTCTTAATACTTGTGTCCTTTCCTTTAATGCCCACAATCATGATAATGATCATTCTGGCATACTCATTTTCACCTCAGCGAGGGGAGGAAAGTTGTGTAAAGTGCCTATATATAATTTCCCAAGGGCAGAAGGTTGGTGACTTGGCCAGATTCGAACCAGGGACTCTTGGTTCTGAGCCGAAAGCTCTGCTGTTACGCCACACAACTCCACAAATGTGGTCACCAGGTGGTCCTTATGACCTATACAGGTTTGACTGTTGCAATAAAATTCTTAAAGTCCCAAAGACTTTTAAACCAAAGAAAGCTCACCAGTGCAAGTTCTTCCTGTCTTTTACACATGTACAGCCACATGTAAGCTGTTGCTAGGTCGTCATGGAGGGTTGTCATGGATACCGCACAGCCTGATCCCTGATTGGCTATCATCTCCTCCAATAGGAAGACAGCTTCTTCGCAGCATTCAACAGCGGTGCTGGAACAATTCAATCAATCCGTCAATGAAGGTTAGACTACTCTCCAAGCAAAGGTTGTGGGGGAATGATCGTTACCCTTTTCTATATGGCCGTTTTTTTGTCGCTACCCCCACCCCCGTTGGTGGCCGGCGACCAATTTGATACTGTCTTTTTGCCACCGAAAGGGATCTGCTTGGAGTTAGACATCCAGGTAGTAAGATACGCCAAAAAGCAGTTACTCAAGCAACTGGATACGATATTGAAAAGTCAACATTTCAGCTAGTATCCACTAACTCACCAGTTGGATGTGATGTTACCAGGACAGCTCAGCAGTAGCTGTCCCAGCTGTACCATGGTGTGAGCTATACCATGGTGTGAGCTGTACCATGGTGTGAGCTGTACCATGGTGTGAGCTGTACCATGGTGTGAGCTATACCATGGTGTGAGCTGTACCATGGTGTGAGCTGTACCATGGTGTGAGCTGTACCATGGTGTGAGCTGTACCATGGTGTGAGCTGTACCATGGTGTGAGCTATACATGTACATGTACCATCGTTTGATCTATACACAGACTATGGTACTCACCAGTTGGATGTGATGGTACCAGGACAGCTCAGCAGTAGCTGTCCCAGCTGTACCATGGTGTGAGCTCTCTCCTGCAGTTTGCTGTCTCCCTGCACATCCAGTAGGTCACAGATCACACAGTACTGCTCATAGCTGCTGTCATATCTGGAACATATATATATAATGTATAATAGATACATCTGTATCTGTATCTGTATAGATACATTCTGTATCTAGCACTATAAAGCAGGGCTACTGGAAAAAGCCACCCCGGCTAAATAGAAAAAAAAAACAAAATGAAAAGAAAAAAATCCTCCCCCCTACCTGTGTGACTGTAGCACCCTGAGTTCCTCCTGTAGAACTTTTATCATCTGTTCCTGGTTCAGCGCACTGGAGTCCAGCGACCGGATAGCATCCCTCAGAGTCCTGGACAAGTACAAAAAAACTTTCCATAAGTTTTATCTGGGTTGATGCATTTTTATACCAGTGCAATAGCCCATGCAGTAGGAGCATGGGAAAGAACATGGGAGTTGAACACACACCACTATCAGTGGACTAACACCCAACCCTAGTGAGTGAGTACCTTACTGTTGTGACCTGTGTATATGGGAGTTAAACACACACCACTACCAGTGGATTAGCCCCTACTGTGTGGCTCAAGGGCTATAGGAACAAAGATAGGCACTGTCCTGTATACCTAAAGATCTGGGAATTCCAATTTTTTTACCTAAAACTACTGATTTTATATCTACAACTAAAACTAGTATGTACCATTAAAAATGTAAACTTTAAGGATAAAATGCGTACATACCTTGTCCTGAGGTCTCCGTCTTTTTCCACTGCTTGCCTTTTGGCCCTTACCCATGATTCCACAGGCATGACCATGTGACTTGGGTCAGCCAATAGGGCAGAAGCAGCAGAGGTCATGGCGACTTCGCAGAGGTCAAGCTTCAACTGACACTCACTCAGTAACCAGAACCTTTCTGCGAGTTTCTGCTGGTTTCAAAACATGGAAAATCATAAGAACAACAAATACATACCATTCATTTTTTTAACTGATACATGGATATGTCAATGAAGTTTATTAGACATCCAGGTAATGAGATACACAAGAAATCAGTTACTCAAGCAACTGGATAAATTTTGACCAAAATTTTCTTACAAAAAGTGCAATGGATGCTAATTGAAACGTGTGAGTTTTCTAATCTATCCAGTTACTTGAGTAACTGTTTGTATCAAATTTTGTATCTCATTACCTGGGTGTCTAACCTTCTTCAATTTGTATCTTGGATTAATATGACAAGGTATAGTTAGTGTTGAAAAGTAGTGGATGCTACTTGAAACGTCTGTGTTGGTCTCCATGTTATATAGTCAAAGTTGTGACCAAACAACATTGAAAGCAATATGCAATTTTGTATATGCCATGGGTTTAGGTCCAGACTTACGAGTCTGGAACTGAACCTAAACCCCTGGACTTGAATCCGGACCTGAGCCTAAATGTGGGTTTAGGTACATAGCGCTAATACCAGGCTTGAAATACTTACCTGATTGGCACTGTCCTGTTGCCCACTTGTCTGGCACCACCTCTGTAAGAGTTGCGCTGCTGTCTGAATGAGAGGAAGGGCTTCCTTGTACCAACCGTGGCTGTACACACAGATGCTCAGGTTGTAAATATGGGAGCCTGGAGACACGACAGATTGGGACTAAAAATTGGTGAAAACGAAACATACAAACAGTATTTCGTGTTTTACAAAGATAAAAAATACTATAATTATAATCCAGAAACGTGCCTACCTACTACAGTAGTAGTACTATAGTCTATATCTGAATGGTGATCAGGATCAGGCACAGTTCTGGATAGTCTCTGCATATCCAAGAAGTAGGTTTGCCCTAGGCACGGTTCTGGATACCCATTGACTACTAGTATCCAGAACCTTTCTGGATAAAGCACTGTGAGTTTTGGAAACATCACTTACCTATTACCCTTACTTTAAAAATAAGTAAGAACTTACCTAGGTACTTGAGCTCAGACGTAGACATGCCTCCCCCATTCCCTGATGACACATCCTCGATGATACCCATGGCCCTTTGCACGACCACCAGGGAACGAGGCAGAACCTCACTGTCACCACGAACACTGATGTAATGTTTTGTCAGCTGCAGTAGGAGGTAAACTGCTGCCATCTGAAGCTTCACACACTGCTGACTATCTAGTCTTCCTGGTGATGTTTTCTGTTCCTAAATAAAGAAAAAATGTTTGAGCTAAAACTACGGTAGCTAATTGTATAGTCTTATAAGGAAAAAACATTCTGTAGATAGTTAAACTTTGTTTTTTCAAGTTCGGTAACTAATATCAAAATACTATTGTACAACGGTTTAACATTTGTGTGTCAGAAAAAATATTTATAATATAAGATTGGCTGAAACACATGTTTAGGACTTTGAAGTTAGCTACAGAATTTGGGTTCATTCATTTTATGTTATACACCTACTAAACTTTTTCTTTGCACAGAAATCTTTGTACGGAACTTGGGTTCATTCATTTTGTTATGCACCTAAACTTTTTCTTTGCACAGAAATCTTTGTACAACCGTATTGCTTTGCCTGCTATTAGGAGTATAAATTCCCTGTTCTCAAAAATGAATCAAGTCTCTGGTCTCACCTTGTCCTGTCCTCTCTGTGCCTGTAGAACATCCATGAACAAGGTCAAGGCTGTCTCCACTGAGCAGAACTCTGACCTTAACATGGACAGCATGCCCTGACCTTGACCTCCAGCATCTAAGACATTCTCCAGACCCTTCCGTAGCTGGTTGTACGCCTCGAGTAACGCCATGCCTGCAGTGTGCTTCACCTGAATGAATGAATGAATGAATGATGAATGAATGATGAATGGTTTATTCAGGTTAAAATCACTTTCAGCCATATTGCTGAATTGTGGGTTTCCTTACAATACTTGGTATGTTAACTTTCTAAAAGACACTGGTCCCAGTTACATTCAATATGATAATATAATATAAGCCCTTTTCATAAATACTAGTAGTAAATTACGAGTAACAATTCCATCGCAGCTTGATATTAAAAGTTTATATCACAAATGAATAAAAATAGGTAAAAACCTTACTATATTATAATCTTGATGAACATTAAGTATTTTTTTGCAAACAGTATCTCACCTCATCCATTCTGTCCCTGACTACTTGACTCGATTCTTCCAAGATTGTGCTGATGTTTCCCCAGTCTGGTTTGCCTGCTGTATTCCCCACTACTGCTGCATTACAAAGCAGCGATGCCTTGAATACTCTTGCTGATGCTGAAAGCAGATTGTCCTGAGATTTGTGTTTCTTTGAGGCTATCCTCTGTACGTCCTGCATCACCTGGTCGATAAAGTTCATTGCTTTGCTCTCCTTTCTGGCTAGCTGAAGGTAGCGGCACACTTGAAAGCCAAGTTGTTGGAGGCAGACTTGGCTTTGTGTCCTGTCTTCTTTTGTATCCGCACTCTCCAACAAGTCTTTATACAAGGCTTGACAGAATTTTGAGATGCTCTCGTATCCCGGGACAGATCCTTGGAACATGTCCTCGAAGTGCTTTGCGATGGAGATCACCTTTCCTAGATACCACTGGGGGTCTACGTTGGACAGCAGGAGGATTTGGAGTGCCTGTTGTCCTGCGGTAAGCCCTAGCTCTCGCCTCGCGACTGAGTTGGAAGACACAGTCTTAAGATCGCAAATCCGGAGAGCGCCTTTCAAAAGTGCATCGAAGGAGTGCCTTGCAATGTTGGTGAATTCCCCTTCTTTTTCTGAAGTCATGGAAGTCTGGAAGGATTTTAACTCTTGGTGCAGGAAACTGGCGATGGTTAGAGCATCTGACAGCAGGTTTTTGCTGAGAAGCTGGGACATGATGTGGAAGAGAAGTTTTTCCAGAGCTAAGGGCACACGCTGGACAGGACTGCAGAGCTGGATACATTTGTAGGACATGTGGGCCACACGGATGGTGTTGGCTATGTCAGGACAGCCAGGTTTGGAAATCCCCAAACACTGAAAAAGAAAAGACATTTAGCATGCTAAGGTTTTTGGCACCTAATTGTGCATTCAATGATTGGATATGGGGTTAGGCAGCAGGGTTACAAAACTAAATCTGAGATTAAGAAAGTTCAAACATTCGAACTGATTCTAACATGGGTCCCCTCCTGTACATCTGAGGAATCCTGACAACTGTGAATGATTAAATTATCAATATGACAGAAAACTGTTTGTGGTGTTTTTATTTTTGTCGTTTTCACAGTGATCTCTTCATTTTCCAATGTTTTACTATTAAGTATTATATTCTATTATCAATATTACTGAGCAAAGCTAAAACAAAAGGCTCAAACTAACAGACAAACACACAAAACAAAACCTACGTCCAGACAAGCCCTGAGCAGCCTCATGCAGAAGACGCAGTAGTTCTTGACAGTTGCAGCAGGCAGTTGGGAAGGTGAAGCTCCAGGCTTCAACAAGGGTGCGAGGTAGGTCTACACAAGAACAAAAGGGTCAACAATAAAATCTTTACAAAAAATTCTTTATAATATACTACGGGAGTGGATATTAAAGACAAAAAAAATGTTATATCCACTTCTATAAAAGACAAAAAAAAATGTTACATGTATATCCCAGGAGTGGATATAAATCGGACCAGTCCTGCTACCTTTAGTTATGTACTAAGTACATTTGTACCTCAGAAGTCAGAACTACAACAAAAAAAAGAGGAATCTAGATTAATGTAAAACTGTTTGTGGTAATTTTAACTTAAGTACGCCTTACGCAAGTATTACCTGTATTTCCGTCACCAGTTTCCCCACCTCTTCGCCGTTTTTTAAAGCACGAATGATTTTGTCACTGTCCGCCATCTTGATTCAGTCAGACAAGTCGTACAGCACACGAAAAATCAAGTAGAATTCTCTCAAAATTCTACTAGTAACTTAAACTTATAACTATTCCAGTTCTAAGTCGACTACACCGTTGAATCTGAGCGGACATTTACATTTTTGGCCTGTATTTTGGCGAATATCGCAACAAATAGTCGAACCAAACAGAAAAGACCGCCAACTCAAAATTCAAAATGGCCGCTAGAATATGTCAAAGGTCGGCTTCTTGTTTCATATGGTACGCTGTCTGTCATTGGTCAGACTAAGAAAAAAAACCTGACGTTCATTTGAAGAAAAGCTGACGTTATGAATGTTACACAGCTTATTGTACATTGTGTAATTATTAGTATGATATTTCACATTTTGGACGATGAAATGAAAATCAACCAAGTCCAAAGCTAAGCCAATCATTCAACCCAATCCAAAAAACGCTTTGACCAATCAAAAGCCGTCTTTTACAAGGGTAACTTCGTGCCGTAAAGCATGACGGGTGTGGATTTCGATGATGACTTAGAAACAAGCATCTTATTCGGTGATATAGATACCATAGTTTACGACTTTATAAAATAATATCAATAGTAAAAATTTAACGTGGTTAATCAACCAAAAATTCAAATTTACACAGAACTTGACGATTTATGTAATATTAATTATTTTTGCTGGACATTACGTACTTTTAAATATTACAACATGTCGTTCGGAATAACGTGCTAGTTTCTGTTTATAAAACAACCTGTTGCTCTCTTTGTTGCGGAAGTAGATAGAAGAGACGACAGATTTCTCCGTTTTCTGTTAATTTAAGCACTCCATTTTGCCAGGAACCGCTGTAGACGATATGGTGAAGCTCACTGCTAAACTAGTGCTAGCCCGGGCCAGGGCACCAGACCTAGAAAGTGTCAAAAAGTTAAACTGTTGGTGAGTTCATCATCACATAATTTGAAGAGCTCCTTGCTTCTTTCTTAGCTATATTATAGGATCTTCCCTTCATCCATGTATGTCCTTAATACCTCCATCTATACAATTCATGATATGTAATATCACAACAACAAGTACATTTACATTTGAACAAGGACATTATACTACAGGTTTACTACATACAGTATACAATGTACTTGATTCGAATAACAATTGCACCAGAACTCTAGCAGAACGATTTGCATGTATGATAAATGTAAGATGGTTAATCTTTCTGTTGTTTCTTCCATGGTCCATCACTGAATGATGTTGTAGGGGCAATGAGCTGACTGATGTAAGTATGCTTAATCTTAATCTTATAACTACTGGTACAAAACCCTTTTGGGTATAACATCCAGGGGAATGCTTCTAACCGTAACCTGTATGTTCTTCTGTATTTCTTGGTGAAGTTGGGATATATTAATTTTTTCCATTTCATTACAGAGTTGTAGTGATGTTGATTGAATCTCTGTTATTTTCACACTCACAGGTGTCAGTTTTTCGTCAGATGCCCAACATTGAAGTTATAAGTTTGAGGTAGGATGTCACATCTTCACATTTTGTTTGTAACATATCATGTATAGTCAACTCAATCCACAGGCGCTAGGCCACCGAGTTTTTGTTGAGATCTAACAATACATGTAACGTTACATTGTTTTGTAAACCATTAAATAAAATCCTTATTATTGTTTCGCGTATGTTAGAACATACACTGTGTCTACTCATTCAGCCCGTTGCCATCACAATACAGTGGTCCGTTGAAATATTCCCAAAAATCATACAGTCACATAACACATAACACCGTGAACACGGCCCGTTGAAAGATTCCTGAGAATGATACGAACACTGAACACGGTCACAAACTGATGAGGATTCCAAAGAACCATACGAACAGATACCGAAGTCTCCCGAAGATTGCCGAGAGCCGAACAGCGACTTCCGAACGCTTCATCTTGGTTAGGTACTTAGTACTAGTATACACTAGGTGCGAAATGCCATTTCAAAAGACCCTATTTTCTGCGAAATGCCATAAGGAAAATAAAAGTCTTGATACTATCTATAATCAAGGGGTAACTAAGTAGCCATGTAAACTTTTTGGGGGTATGATACCATATTTTAAAGAAGATATGAAGCATTTTGTAAAGTCCAATTTCCGGCGAACTGCGTTACCAGGTCGCTGCTGTACAGGTCAATGACATCATCGCTAGCCAATCAGACGCACGATAGGCCCACATTTCCCGCGCGGTTCTAAAATGTAAACGCACACAACTGGCTACATCACCCGACAAGAGTCTTGACATGCTATGTGTAAATGTACTCTAAACACGTCCACAAACCCCACCGACATGTTTTCAGTTCTACATATGTTTCCCAGGCATGAGATTTGGAAAGTGTAGTTGTGCCCAATATCTCTAAAATGTACTATATCGTTGTTTTCTGAGTCTGGGGAGGCAGGGACTTCACACCGAACGTGATTCTAAGTCACATTTTTGCTGCCACCCCAGTTGGTAACGCAGTTCACGGGTAGGTGTTTCCTACCCTGTCATCTTTTTGAAGTTATCACCGCTAGCGCTAGCCCCGGCTTGGGGTTCTATCGAGTCGAGCAGCGGTTTTGCGAACGCATTCGAGTTTGCGAAACCTGTTCTATTCCCGTCGGCCTTTGCGCTACCCTGAACGCCAATGTAACAGCTGAGTAATGAGTGTGCTTTTTATTGTATGATTCAGCGGACCAAGTACCCAGCAGTATGTATTATATATGTATATTTCATTGTACAGAGAATTCTAGGGAAATTTTTCAACGGACCGTGGTCACGGTGTTATGCGATGAGTGTATGATTCTCGGGAATCTTTCGACGGACAGTGTTCACGGTGTTATGTGTTGAGTTCATGACTCTTCGGATCCTTTCAACGGACCGTGTTCATAGTGTTTGTGTTCAGTGTATGATTATCGGGAATCTTAAGCTTGTACGGAGTGCACAGTATACGAGTGTTCATAAAACAAAGCAACAGCGATCTCAACAAAAACTCGGTGGCCTATCGCCCATGCTCAATCATGCCTTCCAATATCAAACCTTAGATTATTATAATTATTCGCCAAAAAGCAGTTTATATACTCAAGCACTGGATATGATTTTCCAAAATCATATCCAGTTGCTTGAGTAACTGCTTTTTGGTGTATCTTATTACCTGGATGTCTAACCTTCATTGACATATTTTAATTATTATTAAACATTGTTCTTTTTTTACCAATTATACATTATGAAACAGGTTCGAACAATATTGTACGAAGCCATATTTTCGACTGACCAACTCCAGTCAAGGAACTTGTAGTTCATTCACTGTTTCTGTTCTTACTTTTTTTCAGTGTGAACAACATAACGACACTACAAGACTTCAGATACTGCCAGAACCTGCAGGAACTGTATGTGCGGAAGAACTGCATCGCTGAGCTGTCGGAAATATGCTACCTCAAGGTCAGACTGGAAAGAACACAAATTAATATGTTTAACTTGAAAATTTTGGGTAACAGTATAGCTATAGGGAAAACCTTAGTCTTAACCATAATGATTGTGAATGTCTGTTGGACACATTTTTGTTTTGCAGTTGATGGAACTCATGTTTAAATGCTTGTCACAGAACTAGAATAGCAAATTCTTTTATTTTCACCATGCTTTTGACTACTATGAATAGTATTAGTATTAAGGTAATGTGCATAACTGTAGGCTTTTATTGACCAATGAGATCTTGTTTTCTTTTCTCTAGAACCTGCCAAAGTTACGAGTGCTGTGGTTGGCTGACAACCCCTGCGAAACAGCTGATCATGACAAATATAGGATGACGGTTCTCAAAACTCTGCCAAATCTACAGAAGCTGGACAACACTAGTAAGTAAAGCAGCCTGCATGCAGGCTGACTTTAGATTCTAATGAATAAACAAACAAGTAAACAAACAAGTAGGCATAATGTTAACCATTGCATTGCCAACCTATTGGTAGTTGTGCCTTGAGGCTGTTCACTAGTTGCGTGAGACAAAGAAGCAAACAACGTCTTTGTTTAAAGTTAAAACTTTTGGTCCAGCACAAAAAATTCTCTCACGCTTTCGATCAGTCACTCTTGTCTTCCTTAGTAGGACCAAAAGTTTTAAGTTTAAACATGTAACTTGTACTTAATTTTTAGATCTGGACTTGTTGGAGGGGTGTCGTCTGACTTTGCTTAATATCACAACAGTCTGCTTTTCTCCCGCTCCCCAGTTGTAACCCCAGAAGACGTGAACAGAGCTATCGAGGCTGGGGATGACCTAAAGTTGCCTGAGAAGAAGGAGGTTATGTTAGAGAACGGAGGCGGGCGCTCCACCAGCCCTGCTGACCAGGACCCTGATCCACAGCAGTCTGCCATCGCTGTCACACTGGAGGAGACCAAGTAAGGCTGTATAGTGCTGTATCCAGATGACACAGTAGGGTAGAGGGTTAACGTTTGCACTGGTAATAGGCCAATGGCTTTATATAGAGACTGAACAGTGTGTCAGTAAGGAAAAAAGAAGTTCTTATTGACAGCAACATACCTGGCTAGTTTCTTCCAGGTTGCTGGAAAAATATATTGAAAAGTGTACTCTTTTGGCATCACTTAGGCCCCAAGTTGGCCAACATGTTTCCCAAGGTGGTATAATTTCCATAGGGGCATGTTGGCCCTGGAGCCAGTCTGGCATCCAGGCATTTAGTCAAGTTCTACTTTTTCAGAAACCTAGCCTGGTAGAGGATAGTAATCTAGGAGACTAGTAATAGCCTTCATGTTGAAGTTTTCCCAATATTGCTGATGTTACCTCCCTCTTGTCCTGTGTTTAGTAAAATCCGGGAGCAGCTTGGTCTGAAGCCCCTCCCAGCTGAGAAGTACACTCCTATCCAGACTAGAGCTTCACCTTCAACTAGCAAACACAGGGTAAGGTTTATAATACACTATGTATAAAACTCTTACCAGTATTATACAAGTTAAGTTCAGTACATTTGAATGGAATTCTACATTGTGTGAGTGTATAGTACATAATCAATGTATACTACAGTACAGTGAGTGAAACATCTATCACAATATCTACATGTACATGTGTGAATGAAAAACATTGTTGTCTAATTGTAATGAAGTCTGTTTTTAGGCAAAACCTGGTTCATGAACGCATCACCATTTTCTTGCTGTGCACCAGTTCAATATCTTATCGGACAGAGCGTATGCTTTGTGGACTGGCTCTCTGCTGTACTGCTTCTACAGTTGTGTTGTCCAACCATAGGTCATGGAAATGGAGATGGGTACCAAAACATGTGGAATATACTTAGTAGTATTAACTTTTTACTGAACTGTCTCCCCAGAATGCTAACATCCTGAGTGCAGTCCTGGCCCTGGTGAAGGAGCTGGACCATGAGAGTCTGGAAACTGTGCAGCATGCAGTGAAGAACAGACTCGACTCTTTCTGAAGCAATGGGATACTAGGAACAAGTGCTCAACAAAACAGCTACTCAAGCAACTGGATAGATTTTGAAGTCTTCTTCTTCTCTTTAATGCCCAACATCCACTGTAGCATCCACTACTCTTTTCAGGGACTGCTAAAATGTACTTGAAAGTAGTGGATGTCACTTGAAATGTCTGACACAGTAACTGTTTTCTTGTGTTATGTCTGGAAAATGGATGGACAGGTTCAAATGAAAATACATACATTAGCAACTGGGTAAATTTTGAAAACTGTCAGATGTTTCAAGTAGCATTCAATCCTTTTTGTCAGTGACTGCTACTTGAAAGAATTGGATGCTACTTGAAAAGTCTGACAGTTTTCAAAACCTATCCAGTTGCTTGAGTAACCGTTTTCTTGTGTATCTCATTACCTGGATGTGTAACCATTGACAGAGCGACTAGTGGATTTGAAATAAGGGAAAATAGAAATGCTTTCAAATCAAGGCTACATGTACACAATGAAACTGTAATAAAACAACTAAACCTATTACAATGCAGTTGCATAGATTTGCCAACTCCTAAAACTACTCTCAACAGTCTGCTGCCAACAATGTTATAACATGAAGTAGTAAGTTACAACAAACTAGTAAAAGAACAGATATTTTGACCAGGAGATATGTTTGTATATAAATATAAGGTTATTACCATCTTATATATATTAGGTAGGTATGAACTACTATGAATGCTGTGTGATTGTAATACATGTAATAATAATTTTGTGTTCTTTCTGAGTCTGATATAGTGATAACATATCAAAAACAGAAAAACTTTCAGGTAAAAGTGGGCATGTATGTTGTACAAGTTGTACATACATATGTGTACATGAGGGAAAAGCCACAATACCATACATACAATGTAAACCTGTGTGTGGTTCAGTGAAGAGGTTGTCATTGGAATAAATGACTGATTAATTTCTAAGTTCTCTTTTTCTTTGAAGAATCAGAAGTCCCCAGGTGTAACCAAGGAAGGGTAACTTGTAAGAAGATTGTATTTTTTTATACAAACTACTAGTATAAAATGGGGTAGAGGGTTGATCTAGGGTAGAGCAATGATTTTGTTTATATATGTTTATGGAAGATCATGAAAATTGTTTCTTGAATTTTTTTCTTAGTCTTATGTGGACTAAGGCCTATGTATACACTCAAAGCTTATGTGTAACAGGTCTTTCTCTGTTACCTGGTACCACCCCGTAATCGTGAACCAGATGTGCTATGCTAACATATTCCAGGACCTACGTTTTGTACAAATACATGCAAAACTTAACTCAATCTGTTAGCATTGTGAATTGATGGGCTTATTCTTTGACTCAACTGTAAGAGTGAGATTCTTCTCAGTGTCTGCCATATTTGTACATACATGTTGAAGTTGTGTCAAGGAAATATATGATAATTTTTTTTTTGAATTGTTGTTTTGTCGTGCATTGGTTCTTTCCTCCAGCAGAAAAACTAGTCACACATGATACGGCTGTTGTTACAAAAGTTTTGAAAAAAAAAAGTGAAATACTGGTTGTGTCCATTCCATAACCTTTAATAATTCAATTGTTAAATCATACAAACAAATTGTACCTTAACCCTCCTTAGAAATGACACATAAACATTCTTAATATCTACTTACAGTCAGAGGTAATATTGAAATTCTACAAGTTAGTGCTGCAACGTGTGCATTTCATTTGATAACACATTAGACACAAACTAAATAATATAAGGCAAGGTGCAGTATCATTAGCCTCCGTAGCAGGCTTATAGAACTGGGGGTTTGGTGGTCTTCAGCTGTTTTCTGATTAGCCCAGTTCTAAACATTCAACCAGGCCGGCTATGTTGTCTATATGCAATCAGAAAATAGCACATAAAAGCTTCTGAAGACCCCCAAAACCCCCAATTTTTGGCATGCTATGGAGGCTAATAGTATCATTGACTCAGATGGTTGCCAACACTACACAGTATATTCCTGTAATGGTCTTGTGCTATAAAACAGTAACATCACCATCATGGCATTCTTTTTCTCAATATGGTAGACATTGTGTAACTATTTATAAACTGGTCAACATGATTTAACGCTACAACATCATAAGAAGATTTGTGTCATGTACACTACTAGTGCTTGTCTTGTAAGTTACTTCTAACTTTGCAGTTACTACTTCCTGCATTAATTTTATCTTAACTTTCTTGTTTCACTTTGAAGAATATGTTCAACTTTGTAGTTTTAGTAAATGGAGATCATTGAAGACTGAAACACATTACTAAGCAATGTTCTGCCAACACATTTCATGGCTTTAATACTGTAGAATGATAGCTTATGTATGTAGAGAAGTTATGACACACATTGTTACTGAGACCTGCTCCTTTGTTAATCACTCCGGAGGCAGCTTGAAAAAGAGCATATCAGAAGATCAGAAAGTTGAAGACATTTTGTCCCAATCAGACAATTTCTAAATCATGAAGATGAGACCAATTCATAGTTTTGGAGGGACCCGTAACACTGAGAAACATTGAAAGACATGCACCTGAAAATTCACATTCTAATTCATCTATTATTAGTAAGAAATTTCTTTCACTTATCGCAGGATTCTAGCCTGGATGCCAGACAGTTCACAGGGCCAGTAAACAGACCAGTTCCTCAGAGTCCAACCAATTTAAAGGAGGTCTAACTGAGGGATATCTGTGGTACAATTTCCTTGGGGACAAGAAGGTGGCCTGTATAGGCCCTTGAAACAGTCTGGTACCCTGGCTAGCCCTGGAGCTGGCCTATATACTAGCCCTGGCAACAGTCTGGTATACAGGGTACAGGATTCAGGTTCCAAGCAGAATTGGTCGGTTATTTTTTGCCCTTTTTGTTCTTCTTGCCCTTCCCACCGATAATTTCGGCAGGGTTTTCCCCCTTGGCAGCGGCGAGCTGCGCCTTTAGAGCGAGTAACTTTTGTACCTCTGCATCCACCAGCTTCTTCTCTGCCTTGTCTGTCTTCAGCTGACGCACAGCTTCTCCCTACGGAAACAAGAATGAAAAGATTTCATTGACACACTTCCATGAAGTATTTAGAGTTGTTGCCTCCATGAAAATGGAGGTTTGTTTTCTGCGTGTGTGTGTGTTTATGTTTCCACATATATGTGGTCAGCATGGATGAAGTCTTGGTAAGATGAAGTAAAAACACAGAGACATTGCATCAAGTTTCACAAGCATATTTCCTTGCTTCTCAGTCTTTGCTTCTTAATTCAAGATTCATCAAGTATCTTAGTTTAGGAAGTGGTCCAAAGCTGGTTACAAAGCTAGGTTGTGTAATGCTCTTCATTTAACAACCAGCAGGCTTTAAGTTTGATGTTTCAGAACCTACTTAAACAATCTTTTGTGATGATGAAATTATTCAAAATAAAGCAGGTTTTCCAAAAGTGCTTTTATTGGCAATTGATGTCTTTCTATGCCATACCTGCTTCTGCACTTCTGCTGTAAGCCTGTCCACTTCAGCCTGGTCCACTTTAACAGGAGGGGTGTTCTGTACAGGCTGGGCTGGAGTCTTACTCTGTGGGGGAGGACAGGACAACAAGTGTTGAAAACAATTAATGACAGTTTGGCACTTTTCGTTTATATCTGAGAATGAACAAACTTCTTTGGCATAGCCTTAGCTTTGTTACCCTAAATACATGTGTAAATTCAATATATAAGAAAAGATGTCACTCGTGGGTAGGCAGCTAAGGAGACTTAAACAATGATAATTAACCGCAATAGACCATGCTTGTATTTCTAATAATGTTGAGAAATGGCCCAGAAAATTGTATAATTTTTTAGGTACCTTCTGCTCCTGTTCCTTCCTCTCCATCTGAGTCCCTGCAAATTTCTTCTTGAGTTCCGCCATGGTGGAGGCTTCTAGTTTCTGGAACAGGGGGCTGGGCTGGGAGGGGGAGGGAGAAGTAAAGGTTATGTCATAAGAGTTTAGCTCAAATGAACTCAATGAACTGTTGAGCTACTCATCCACTGGTCATGACAGAGAAGACAGACACTTTGTACAGCATTTACAGGTTTATTCACCTCACTCGCTTGCTTGCTCGACCGACCAACCAGCCAACCAACCAATCTGTTCCCCGACTTCCGAGGGTTACACGTTCTTGCACAGCAATACAGGCTTCATTTTGGATGTTTCTTTATGTTGATACCTTTCGAAAACCTATAGATGGCCAGGAGGTCCTTATTCTAGTAAAGGGTTGACTTTATGTCTGTACCTTTCCAATCTTATGCCCAGTCTGTAGAATCTGATGTATATCAATGGCCAGGTGGTCCTTACACAGACATGGTCACTAGTACAACAAAGTTTATTTCACATGTTTTCCATACCTTTCCAATCTTGTGCCCTGCCGGTAGCTGACAGACAAACGTGTCAGTGAGGATGTTGACCTCCGGAGGTGCCTGTAGCTGCTGCTGTATGGTGGAGCTGGTGGCAGGCATGTACGGCTGAACCAGCACAGACAGGAGACAGGACACGTTAGCCGCCAGGCCGATCACTGTACCCGCTCGCGCTCTGAAAAAAAGAAAATTAGAGTGATCTTGATCCAGTTTTAGCTCACTGAAGATCTACTTTTCCACCGGTTGTGACAGACGCTACAATGTATGTACAGTATTTACTGGTTGTTTGTCCAGGGAAATTTCCCCAGCTCTTTTCGACAAGCACAATGAACAGTGGATCATGGCTTAGTGTCCAGTCCTAAAGACTGCAACTGTGCCTGCACTCTGAAGGGAAGAAAAAATCTACAGTCAAACCTGCCCCAAAACTGCTTGTGTCAAAGCACCACAAACGCACACATGCACATATATACATGTAGACAGACAGACAGACACACACAGACAGACACACACACACACACACACACAGACACACACAGACAGACACACACACACACAGACACACACAGACAGACAGACACGCACACACACACACCTCAGACAGACACAATACAATACTGTCCTTACTTTTCCGCTGGGCTCCCCTTGACTAAGACCCAGGGTTTCTGTGCCTGGATGTACTGGTTACCCAGCCGAGAGATGTTCAGGATACGAACCAGACCCTCCCTCAGTCTGGAAAACAACAGGGAAAACCATCATTTCAACTGGTAAAAAGAAGTTTTGGCAAGAAAAGCACAATCATCCTGTTAAAATCGATTTGTAGTAATATTGTACAGGGAAGCAAAATGATTGAAAGGCTAGGCTAGCATCAAAAGTTCATCTGTGTTGGTGAAATGGTATTCCAACACATAGAATGGCATCAGCAAAGTTATCCTGCAGAAGACCAGAAAACTGGTTGAAAATTTGAGTGAAACCTCATCTATATTGGTAAAATTAGTTATGTTGCAAAATTTGTGTTGGAACTAAGGCTTAAACTTTGTACCTATTGTTAAAAATTTGTTGACCAAGAATGAGTTCAATCTCTTTCTGTTGGAAAACAGCTGAACTCTCTCACAAAAATAGAGAGAGAATTTTGAAGGATAGTGAAAAACACACCGACCTGACTTTCTCCAGACACTGTAAGAAGGCCTGTAGTTCCCTGTTGATCTGAGCCAACAACTGTCCATCCTCCTCCGTCACTTCTACTGCCGGCATCACGCCTTGGAAGAAGTTACTCACAAACATGAGGGCTCTGGAGGTAAAAACAAGGCCTCTGTTACTAAAGCTGCTCAAAATACAGGGTCGGTCCTTGGTACTGAACACCTAGGGATTTGTGGATGGTGTTCAGCACCAAGGACAGGCATGTCTGCATGTGTGTAGATGGTGATCAGCACCAAGGACAGGTGTGTTTACCTGTGTGTGGATGGTGTTCAGCTCCAAGGACAGGTATGTTTGCCTGTGTGTGGATGGTGTTCAGCACCAAGGACAGGTGTGTTTGCCTGTGTGGGTGGTGTTCAGCACCAAGGACAGGTGTGTTTACCTGTGTGTGGATGGTGTTCAGCTCCAAGGACAGGTATGTTTGCCTGTGTGTGGATGGTGTGCAGCACCAATGACAGGTGTGTTTGTGTGTGGATGGTGTTCAGCACCAAAGACAGGCATGTTTGCATGTGTGTAGATGGCTACTGTTATACTGCACTTATACAAACTTTATTTTAAGATATATTAGAAAAGCTGATTGCACCCAAACACAAACAGCATAATGATTATACAATGTAGCAGGAATACTTTTACACCAGCTGACCTGTTGACAAAGTTTCCCAGGTTGTTGAGCAGCTCGCTGTTGTTTTTGGTCATCAGGTCTTCCCAGCTGAAGGTGCTGTCCTGAGGAGGGAGGAAGGAAAAGGTTAATTCTTGAGTTACAATACATGTAACAAATGTTTTAATCATCACAATTAAGTGCAGAATAGCAGGGTTCTCAGAATTTAAAGATTCTGAGTTTGAATCCATGGCAGGCACTATTGTTCTGTCTTCGGTAAAAGTACTTTATATATTATATATGTACTATATCTAAATGTATATATATAATACATTTGTAACTATTTCGTCATTTAACTTGGTGAAAATGAGACCTAACTTGCCTAGGAAATTCTCTCAGATAGGACGTAAAGTCAGAGGTCCCATGTTTAAGGAGTGCAACACCTTGAGCGTGTTAAAGAACCCACCACTCAAAAGAGTAGGGGTCCTTCCTGGTGTGAGTGGTTCAGACCTTACAGTCTAGTCTCAGATTTGACATTTTGAAAATGTGAAGATGTCACTTTGGTCAGGTTTGTGTTGCAGGGTAGGAGATGATAACTGTAACATCTTAGTTTTGCCTATGTGACAGTGTTGTAGGATTCTCCATGTCACCTGTTATGTCAGTCCTTCCACAGTGTGCGGTAAATCTTGATATTATATTAAAAAAAAAAAAAGGTGAAGACACTCGTCATACCTGACTCTCTGGTCGGACAAACAGTAGGTAGAACCTGTAGATGTCTGCAGGTATCCCAGTGTCCTTTGCGTTGTTCCCGAACACGCCCACGCCCCGACTCTTGGAGAACTTCCCATCTTCGTAGTTCAGGTACTCTGGAAAAGTACAGGATGAATTGGGAACATCTTAATGTGGGTCCTTAAGTAAGGACAGCTTGTTTGTGTTACAGACTGACAGTGTTACATGTAACTACCCTAAAAGATCTGTTGCATACTAGATATGCTCCCACTAGATGTCATTTTGGTCAGGTTTGTGTTGCAGGGTAGGAGATGATAACTGTAACATCTTAGTTTTGCCTATGTGTTGTAGGATTCTCCATAAACTTACCCGTAACTGCAAATTTTATTCATGTTTCTGCCATAAATAACATTACCTTAAACGAGATGTTCTGCCTGAGTGACATGCAGAAAACCTTACGGGTTCACACAGGATATTCTGCCAAAATGTTTCTCAGGTTTAGATGGTGACAACTTTCCATTTTTAGAGTTCAGGCACTCTGGAAAACTTACCTGTAGCCTGTAGATGGTTGACCAGTGTATAGTTGTCCTCGGCTCCCAGCAGACTGCAGGGGAACACCACACTGTGGAACGGAACATTGTCCTTTGCCATGAAGTTGTACAGTGTCACCTGTTGGGAGAACATGAAGTTTAGCATGAAATCTGTGTGTCTGAGAAGAAAAGCACACCTTCAGGGAGCCAGTATATGTCGTCTCTCAGCAAGTTTTCCAGGAGTTTGCAAATGCCAGGGAAGGGAAATGGAAGAATTACTAAGTCTCATCGTCTGAGAAACAAGGAGATCATTTGATTTGTCCTGACCTGTTCAGGGTTTTTCCACCACTTCTCCCATTGGTCGGTGTAGTTGGCAGTTATCGACAGGTAGCCAATTGGAGCATCGAACCACACGTAGAAAACCTGGAAAGAAACAAAGACAATTATACTTTTATCTAACGTTCTTGTTCTTCATATCTATGGGGTATGTACTGTTGTTTATTTCTATATAACGATTGTACGAATCAGTGTAATTCAGCTTGTTGTACATGTACATGCTGTGAGGCTGATTTTCTTAATAAAACTGTAAACCTATAACTCCATAACTGTATACAAGGTAGTCTTTCTTCCCCCTCATTCACTTATTCATTTTCAAGCTCACTCATTCAGTCATGCTAAACAACAGGCAGTTTTGACAGTCATTGTACATCAATCTTTCACTGTCACTCTCTTTCTTCTCCCACTTCCCTCCCTCCCTCTCTCTCTCCCTCCATCCATCCATACCTTGAAAGTTCATCTGCATTGGTAGAAGTCTTCCTGATACAGGTTTGACCAACAAAATTGTTGGACTTTTTTCGACTGTACTACTCCAGTCTTTGTCAAGGAATTCACAAAGTTACCTGTTCCTTTCTTCTCCCACTACCCTCTTTCCCTCTGTCCCTCCATCCCTATATTCCTAAAATTTTCTTACATTTTCCTTTTTTTCCCTCACTTCCCTTTTTTCTTCTCTCCCTCTATCTTTCCCTTCCTCCATTCCCGAAGTTATCTCACCTTTTCCGTGAACCCCTCCAGAGGCACCGGCGTTCCCCACTTGAGGTCTCGGGTGATACAGCGAGGCTTCAGGCCGTCCCGCACCCACGACCTTGTGATGACCTTCGCGTTGTTGGACCAGTCGTCTGTTGGGTAGATGGTGTTCAGGAAGGCTGACAGAGCCGGCTCCAACTGGGCAAACAGGCAGGATTGAACCACGGTCATCAAAAATAGAAATGTTCATGAGAGCTGATACTCCAAGACACCATTGGCCTGGGTCCCCCAAAATGGTAGAAGGAAGAAAGGAAAGCTGAAAAATGCATGGTGACTAGACCTTCCAAGAAAATCTGAGAAGGGTGAACATGGCAGTAGGCAGAGACAGTGGCTGCTGACAAAAAGAGGTGGAAGCTTGCTGCCCGATGTGCCATCAGGCACAGGAGGAACAAAGGTCTAATATTAGCATGATGTTTATTTAGTTATCTGCTATATCTGCTACATCTTCTCTGATACTATTTTCAAGAATGCGAGGAAGTTTTGACAACTACTGGCATCATGGTCTTTGTACCCCTAGTGTCTTGGAGAGTCTAAGACATTGAAAGAGCTATGAATTAAAGAGCCCAACACACTTGTCAATAAGAGAAGAGGTGACCCAGTGTGCTTGCAAAAAGCCATGATAAAGCCTTAATATTAAAAAAAACCACAAGATTGCACTATACCTAATTAGAAGACAACCTTTTCTACTTTCTTTATATAGAGACATAAGCAAAATCTTTTCCAAGAAAAGTGTTACCACATATCAGGGAAACATTTCACAGTCTGCAGAAATGTTTTTGAAGACTCTCACCTTGGGAAGGTCGAGGAACAGGTGTTCTGAGGTCTGGACTACAGGTGTTTTGTTACACAGCTTACACCTGGGTTTCTATGGCAACACAAAAAACAATAGTATAGTGCTTAACTGTCATTACATGAACTACCTGCTAGTAATGGCAACATGCATAATCTACTATTGATACAAAATTGGAGACATTATCAGTATTAGATAAATAAAGCAACAACTTTGTCACAATGTTTCTTTTTACTTTCTTTTCCTTTGGCTTCAAAAAAAGCTTTCTACTGAAAGAAAACAATATTCCACATACAAATGAGTGCCACAACTAAACTGTTGCACAAAATCAGGAAACCCAGTTTGCCACACACCTTGAGTTCTGTAGCGTTGATGAGTTTGCCACATTTGTCACACTGGTCTCCCCGGGCATCGTCATAGTTACAGAGTGGACATGTTCCCTCCACAAATCTGTCTGCTAGGAACCTGCAAACAAACAAACAATCAAACCATTTATATAGATGGCATTACAAACATGCATTACACATTCTAACAAGTACTGCTGTACAATACATGTATGCCACCTAGGAGAATGTTAAAGCACTGCAGGGTTGTACCATCCACACACAACCAAACATACCTGTCCTTGGTGCTGAACACCATCCACACACAAACATGCCTGTCCTTGGTGCTGAACACCATCCACACATAGGCAAACATGCCTGTCCTTGTGAGACACTGCAAATATCAGGCTAAGATTTTTCCATAGAAAAGAACCCACTTGTCACATTGTTGGCACTTCAGCTGCTCCACAGTTTCTGTCAGCAAGAAATTCCTCTTGTACAGCCTCCAGAAAATGTCTTGGGATATCCTAAAAAACACAAGATATAAAGCATGACATAAAAAATGTCAGTACTTGCTTATGTTTTGATGTCTGCCCAGATGCCTTCCTCAGAGCTTCTGACTGGAGTTCTGCTTCTCACTGATATATGAAGCAGCAGTATTCCAGTCAGAAGCTCTGAGGAAGGTGTCTGATTGGCATCAAACTGTAAGCAGGTGAGAGTTACTGGCTCTGTAAAAGAAAACCCCAATATCTTATGTTCTACCAACCTGATGAAATTATTTAGCATAAAACTTCATCTGTGTTGGTACAAGTCATTATGAAATGAAGACTATGCTTGCAACACTGGTATTAATTGGAACCCAACTGGGGTAAGTCCCAATTACTAGTAATTCAAGTGTTACAAAGAAAGCCTAGTCTTTTATTATCTTTATTTCTTCCTGATGAAATTATTTTTGGATGTAGATGAACTTACACAGTTTGCTGAGGTGTGGTGGTCCTCCCAAAGTAGTCGAAGTCGATCTCAAACCACTTGTAGATCTCGGTGTGGATCCTGTTGTACTTGTCACAGATCTGCTGGGGACTGAGGCCTTCCTCCAGGGCTTTGGTCTCAGTGGCTGTGCCGTACTCATCTGTACCACAGATGTACAGAGTGTTCCAGTTACGCAACCGGCAAAACCTAGAGAAAATAAAACAGTGAGAGTGAGCACAAACCAATGAACAGGTTAGAGGGGTTTTCTTCAACATTCAGCCCCAATCTTGTACCCTTGAGAAAGGCCCTTTACATCTATTTCCTCACATGACTCAGGTGAAAATGAGTAACCTACACGATGATTGTTGATGGCAATTTGTTGGAGCAGCTTCTAAGTTACTCAAGTAACTGAATATGATTTTGGAAACAGTCAGCCGTTTCATGATCAGGTAGTATCCACTACCTTTCCAAAATCATGTCCAGTTGCTTGAGTAACTGACTTTTGGCGTATCGTATTACCTGGATGTCTAACCTTTACTGACGTAGCTTCTAAGTTGCCTGTAGGCAATCGAAGCATGCACAAGCAAACAAACAAAGACAACAGACCTGGCAAAGACATCAGCACTCAGCACACAGCTCCAATCTTGTACCACTCTACACCTATTTCCTCACTTGACTAAGGTGAGAATGAGTACCTAGCTACATTGTTTAAGGCACGTTTCTTTGACCAGCTTCTAAGTTATCTGTACACAATTGAAGCAAACAAACAAACAAACAAAGACTACAGACCTTGCGAAGACATCAGCACTCAGCACACAGCCGATGATGTTGCCCAGATGCGGCACGTTGTTGACGTATGGAAGGGCACTGGTGATCAGGATGTTCCTCTCTCCTGACTGGGGCAAACTGAGGGGGAAATAGAGACTTCTTCAATTCCTCAATTCTTTATTATTATATCAACATTGCAGACATACATATAATACCGGTAAACATAAATCCACAGAATGACATTGATATTTACAATATTAAAATAGTAGCGAGAGAGCAAGGAAGCTAGCAAAGAGACTAATGAAACATTGGCAGGTAAATGATGATGTTTGTGTACATGTTGAATTACTAAGAAGGATCAGAAGATCTGCCCACTGTTGTGTTGTGTGTGTACTTACATAGGATGTGTCCTTGTCCGAGGCTTGGGACTCTTCCCATCTTTGAAAGCAGAAATCGCGGCTGTGACTTCCTCAGCAGAGACTGACAGTTCACTGCTTGTAGAGCCAGCCTGAAATATATGTAAGATAAATGAAATGTAAGTTGAGACATTAAAAGTCCACATATAGGCATTCTCCTAGCATGAGGAGAAGTATACAGAAGATACAAGTATCTACAGAATCATATATATCATTTGTAGCAATGGGAAGATGACAACAATGAGACGGAATTCGACCGGTTTAGACTTTATTCAGTCTTTCTCAAGAATGAATCATATATAATCATGCAATGAACATATATCTGGGTCTCAGCGTAACACGCCAGCTTCAGAGGCACACAGCGCGGCTATATTACACCAAAAAACATATTTTTCCAGCAAAATGGTTGAAATATACACTTCATTTTAGCATATACATGAGGTTTTCCTTCTCAGCCTGTGTCAAATGACTTCAGTGTTTTCCACAATAATTGCAAGAATATGTCATTGTTTACCTCTGACTGGGCCTTGGTGGGAGAGGACTGTATCACTGGTTTCAGGGGGAGGGGCTGGGCTAGCAAAGATGCCTGAAAATGTAAAATAGTTCATAGTCAATAAGAATTACAACATGGACAGGTATGTATGTGTATGGATGGCGTTCAGCACCAAGGACAGGCATGCTTACCTGTGTGTGTATGGTGTTCAGCACCAAGGAAAGGTATGTTTGACTGTGTGTGGATGGTGTTCAGCACCAAGGACAGGCATGTTCACCTGTGTGTGTATGGTGTTCAGCACTAAGGACAGGCATGCTTACCTGTGTGTGGATTGTGTTCAGCACCAAGGACAGGTATGTTTGTGTGTGTATGGCATTCAGCACCAAGGACAGGTATGTTTACCTGTGTATGGATGGCGTTCAGCACCAAGGACAGGCATGCTTACCTGTGTGTGTATGGTGTTCAGCACCAAGGAAAGGTATGTTTGACTGTGTGTGGATGGTGTTCAGCACCAAGGACAGGTATGTTTGTGTGTGGATGGTGTTCAGCACCAAGGACAGGCATGTTTGACTGTGTGTGGATGGTGTTCAGCACCAAGGACAGGCATATTTACATGATTGTTGTATAGAAATACTAGTACATTATACTATGATGCCTAAGTGAATGACATACATGAATAAGAAAATAAATAACAAAAAAAAATATTATCCAAAGTATGTTGATAAAAAACAGTGAAAGAGCATATATGGTACCCACCTTACAAGCTGACACTCCCTTGCTCTTAGTAACCGTTGCTATGGCGGACTTGAATGCTTCTTGAGTCGACAAGTTCTGAAACCAGTCTACAATTCCTGAGTACCGAGTCAACTCATCTGTAGGAGGAAAATAACAAAATTGTTCTTTAGATACTACTTATACAGCAAGGCACATCAAAATTTCTATTCAAAACAAAGTACATGTAAGCACGTCGGCAGAATGTACTGCACCTGCGTGAAACCCATAATGTGTTGTGCACAGCATTTTGGCAGAAGGTCTCATATGAGGCTGTATTTGCATATATAACGTTATCATCCCGTCTGTAGTTTCAAAATATTATGTCGGAAAAGATATATTCTGCAACAGGCAAAATCCTGATGCAAGGGTCGGCAGGTTTTTCTTAGGTTGAAGGAAACAGGAAACATTTTTTTCCTCAGGCGCCATTTTTATTCTGTCGACGTCAGGTTAGGGACAGACCACTTCATACTAGGGGTGTCCACAGATAAACAAAAAGGGGCCAAAGTTCAAGAACAAGATTAAACACAAAAGACAAAACATTTTAACACCAAAAATCTTTATTTTTAATCACCTTTGTACATTGTATTAGATTTTGTAAAGCTAGGTGGGAATACAGTGGTTTTCTTTATAAAACTGGGTGATAAGCTGCTAAGTATTCACATCAAAGTTTTAGAATGAAAGACAATTAGAAATACCCGGACACGAAAGGTAACAAATGCAAAGATTGCTTCTCACTCTCAGTTATGTCAACTTTGCCAAAATAAAAACTCTTTAAAATCATACAATATAATTAAAAATAATTCACTTTTTGTGAATACAATTGTATATTATGTACTTGCTTCTCTATCTTATTTATAATGTCACTTTGCTCTTTATTGCAATGACAGTGAAGTTTGTTGCATATTCATGCCCCATTGGGGCTACATGCAGTAAGTTTAACTAAGTCTGGAGTAATGGGGAAACTATGCTCTGTTTTATCTAAAAACCTAATGTAATAAGTATGATTTACAAAAATGTACATGCTTCATATCTCTTCTTGAGACATTTTAGACAATTTTTTTTTTCCATTGGATCATAGTTTACTGATTACATTATTCATCTATCCACCTATACATTTGTACTTCTACTCATGATCATACATACACACATACATATCACATATCCTGGCTTTGGTTATTCTGCTGCCGGCTTCCCTGTCTCAGGGGTAGGCAGCAGTCGGCCAGACTGGACACCTCAGGCGCCATTATACAATATACAATAACATGTCATCCTTTGTTAGGTGTACATATTTCTGTTCTAACTGTATCTATTAGTATTGACAAAGTATGATTTTAGTTGATTGTGTTTTAAGGGGCCTTCAGGCTCGGATCTTGGGCAGTTTATTTAAACCTAAATTCTTTTGCGTCGATGAAGGTTAGACATCCAGGTAATTGGAAATTCAGACTAATTTGCATCATCTTGTCTTGACTTGTCTGACTTTTGTTCCTTTTTCGACTTCCAAAAATTTGTCTTCACTTTATTTGCATATCAATCAATAGGTTGTGCTTATAAACCTGTTTTCCCCTCTGGTCTCTCAGTCACTGACGAAAGCTAGTGGATACCAGCTGAAACGTCTGACGTTTTCAAAATCATATCCAGTTGCTTGAGTAACTGCTTTTTTGGCCTAAATTCTTTTGCTTTGTAGAGCAAACAGTTACATCTGCTAATATAGCAACATGCTTAATACAGCAACAGAGCTAAACTTTGTAAAGTGATATTGTTACAGACTGGTTCAGTTTGATTATCACCTCAATCAGATTCAGAAGTTCTGGAATATGCTGACAGTGTTGTCTCTATCATCAGTTATTACCAGCTGTCCCTGTGTTGCCATGGCAACAGCTCGTGGCCCCATCATGTCTGTAGTGATGTGTTTGAGGAATTTTCCTGTCTTGTCAAACATCTCCACACGTCTGTTTCCCCCATCTACCACGATGATGTTCCCTGCCCTGTCTGTGCAGATGCCACGGGGCCTGTTCAGCTGACCTTCACCAATTCCCCAACCTCCAAACTGGAACAGAAACTGTCCGTCCTCGTTGTACACATAGACACAGGCATTGTCCCAGTCTGACACTAGAATGTTCCCTTCCCCGTCCACAGTGATGTACCGTGGGAACTTCATCCCCTGCTGCCTTGATACTAGTGATGCTAGTAAGCTCTTCCTTTTCCCACCCACAGTTTCCACCAATGTTCCATCTGGCCTGAACACCAAAACTGCACCATGTGGGTTGTCCCTGTCTCCTGTGATTTGTGTGATGAGGATGTGGTTCCTCCTGGTGTCCTCGGCAACTCCTCTGGCCCACCCTGTGTCCTGTAGGCCAATCTTCCTCAGCACCCTGCCCTGTTTGTTGTACTGCACAGCAAACTCAGCAGACTGTATCCACCCCACCACCCACAGGTTCCCCTCCCCGTCCAGGGCCATATCTGTTGGCTGCATCTCCTGTTCACCTGACACAACTGTTGGGAACAGTCGGACAAACCTTCCCTGCAGGGTGAAGACTTGGATTCTCTGGTTTTTATCTGCTACAAAGATCTCCCCTTCATTTGACACTGTAACACCGCATTGTTCAATGAACTTTCCTGTTCCTGATCGCTCTCCACCAAATGTCACCTTCTGAGGCTGACGCTCCCCTTGTCTTTGGTTACCATGGTGATGACCTGTTCCCCTTGCTGAAGGTGCTGCTGGGATTGGTGCAGATGGGAGAGACTGGACCGTCACATGTCCCAATACTGGCACGGGGGTGTCTGTGGGCTGAAAGACAGCAGGCTGGGTTTGTACAGGAGTTGGTGCTGTTTTTCGTCTGTACTTTCCTACTACCTCTGTCAAAGCGGTTTGCTGACTGAGAAACTCGACCCATCCCTGCTGCAGTTCTTGTTCTGCTCGATCACAGGCAGCAGACAGTTCATTGACATCTGCCAACATACTGTCCCTTTCAGTCTGCATTCTGTCCAAGTTGTTTGTGTGGTTCTCTTCTGATTCAGACAAGAGGTGGTCTTTTCTCTGGGTGAGTTTCTGCACCATTTGGTTGTAGGCCTGAATGATGCTTTTGTCTCTCTGCTGTTTCTTTTCGTTCAGGGTTCTCTCTTCTTCCCTCAGACTTCTGAGGAAGCTTAAGTAACTTTCAACAATGTTCCTCCCCTCATTGATCAAGGCCTGGACTGTGGAGCTTCTTTCCTGTGCAGCTTTTTTGATGGTTGTTGTGAGATGATCATCATGAGTCTCTTCAAAACACTGTTCGCAAATTGGAATCTGACATTGTTTACAGAACTGTTTGAGTACCTCAGAAGGGTGAGAACTGCACCTGTTTGCAGACTGGGGTTGTTCCCTTGTTTCCTCTGATAATGTTGCCTGATTTTGCAGCCTCTCACACAGACTTGTAACCAGGTAGTTGTCAGGCAAACCTGCGACCCCCTGGGGTGGCAGCCTGACCTGCCGACGACAGATTGGGCACTGGAAGGTCCCTCCCCTCCCTGCATGGTCCTGTAGACAGTCCTGACAGAAGGTGTGCTGACAGGGCAGCATCTTGGGCCTGATGAACAGCTCCAGGCAGATGCTGCAGGACAGTTCTTCCTTGAAATGTGTCCCCAAACTTGTCGGTGCAGCCGCCATGATTTTGCTTCTTGCTGATGTGGCAGCCTCGCCCCAAGTCAAAGTCTCAAGTTTGAACCATGTTTGCTGTGGACTGAACTAAAAGCTGAGGGAGACTGAATAAACTATTTTTGCCACTTCAATGTCAATCTTACAATGTAGGGGACTAAAAAGCTGATTGCTTATAGGACTGGGATAAAAAATCATAAAATTAAAGTAAGTCTATAGTACCTGTCGCTTGTGTGCAATGAGCCAAATGTGTAAGTCACCCCATTTGCTGATGTATGAGTTGGTTTAAACCAAAAATCATTGATTGATATTAAGTATACTGTAAACAGCTGTGCGGGTGCTAGTCATGTGCTTGTTTGCTCTGAAAGGGTAGAGATATGATCACTAAACACAACTCTATTTTCTACTTTAATTTTAATCCATTTGAAGAAGGGTGTTTCTGAAATCAAGCAAGTTCATATCCCAAACCAGCCTTGTGTTTTCTTGTCTGTTAATAAAATTCATAAAGTTGAACCACACTATTTTTGTACAGTGGAAATTTGCCTGCAGTTCATTACTAAGTCAACAGAGGGTGCTGATGCATGGCACTTCTATGGCCCACCTGTACTTAAGTACTGTAACTTACCTGTTATCTTTGTTGAGTCTCCATAGAGAGGGAAGAGTGCTGACCAGAGTACAATATCAGCTGCTGTCACAGACGTCTGCATAAAAACACAAACATATTATAGAACATCACCCATAACAAATAATATCCTACAAGACCAAACACATCAAACACTATGAACTTAAAGATGGTACATACTGTTTCTCTGTATAGGAGTTCACTTAGAGTATAGGAACTAAACACATATCACTACCAGTGGACTAGCCCCCTGCTGTAGCTATAGTGATTGGAAACTGGCTACAGTCAGAAATGAAGATTATCGCTACCTTTAAACACCATGTACATGTATGGTACATATGTTTCTCTGCCTAGCACTTAGAGTATAGGAGTTGAACACACACCACTACCAGTGGACTAGCCCCCTGCTGTAGTGCTTGCACAACCTTGTGTCCCACGGACCACAGGAACAGAGTTGGGCACCATCATATGCACAAACGTACTGAGGGAAGACTTAAAGTTTAACTTACCCCGACGATGTATTGCCTGTCCTTCAGTGCCTTGTCCAGATGTTCTAACAGAGGAAACATGGCAGCAAACAAGGCATTGTCCTTCTTACCCTGACCTACACACGCCACAATGTACGGGGCTAGGAATGGCTGGGGGAAAACAAGGAAAAGACATGGGAAATAATGACTAACTTTAACAGTTGAGTGCTTTTCATGTTATTTATTCATCCAGGGACCACATACAAATGTATCACCACTGAGGTGTTTTTCAAAGTGCCCTCCAGGCCTACATTTTATTTTATCAAACTTGCATCGCATCAAACTTGTATACATGTAGTATGTTTCTCTCAATATCAAATGAATGCATAGATGAATGGAGTGTAGAATCACCTGTAGTTGAGAACTCTCCCATTCCAGCCACTCATCCACAGTGATGTCATCAGTGTTTTTATTACCCAACAAGTACCTGAAGGAAAGAAGGAGTAAAAAAACTGATAATCTGGGGGTTGTGCAAATTACCAATTACCTGCAAAATTCTTGGGTCTCACAACACAAGTTATGTACATGTACCAACCACTTCAAATCTGTATTGAGCCAAAGTGACTAATCTGCAGACTCAGTTGGGGTTGTTATTTGCGTTAATGACCCTACTGTTAATGGTTAATGATTTATGTTGTAAACAAGCATCGGAATTTAGCCTTGTATGTCACGGCTGTGATTTATGCTGTTGTTGATACAAATAAACAAATAAATTAACTTAATGTACAAGTTGATTTTTCAGTTCAGCAGCTTTACTTTTTGAGCACAAGAACAATCTGACTTGTTCTTATGGCTTTCTATGTGACAAATCTCACCTGCAGGCTGCGTTAGCTGAGAAAATTGCTCTTCCTGATGGGAGTTCCAAGATGGGCAGCTAGAAAAAATAATCATCATAATAAAACATGTATGATGTGTCAGCGGTGAATCAAAGAACCACCTTCATCAAATACATGCACAAACAAACAGACTATTTAGGGGGAATGGTACTGTAATTCACTTTATGTTCATGGTAGCAAAAGTTCACGGTCTGAGAAAAATGGATATGTTCACGGAACTATATGTTGACTGTGGTGACAGGTGCAGGAAAAAGAAAGTCCAGGAATTATTTGTTAACTGTAAGTGTAATCAAGTGGTGTAATGATAAGTTCATGGTACAGAATTGACAATGAAAACAGTGAGAAAATCAGGAATTTACAGTATTTCATTTACCATTGAGTGCATAATTTGCTCATCACATTATTATGGTAATTAGTCGACTTAATTTAAATCTTAAACCAGGTAGAAATTCCAGTTTGGACCGCTCTTAATAATTTCATTGCACAGAATAAAAAAAAGTTAAAACGTTACCTGTCTACTTTGCAGAAATGATGCCCCAGCTGGAAGATCTGCTGATTCATAACAAAAGAAGAATCATGTCAAAGCTAGTGTTAGCTGTCAAAAAAAGTCAACAAACACAAAACACACCCTCCACACACCCCCAGGCTAGCATTTACAGATCAACACGTGACTGGTAATAGCTAGTATTGTCCCCTCCCCCTTTCGAAAACAAAGCATTCTAGATCTAGCTTAGAAACGATCTATTTCCTTTCCTTTTGCTGTAAAACAAAAGACGATTGCTTGTATATTATACGCAAAACAAGATGTTAAAATTGACTGCTATACTTTTACACCAAAGACGTGACACACATAATTTTTTACATGATCATGCTTAGTAGTTTCGCAACTCACCGGTAGCCCATCTGGTTCGGTCAACCTCCTGGATTTGGAGCACCGTTCCTGCTATATTCGAGGCGATCACAGCTTTTAGAGCATGTGGATTCCCTGGATCCGTAAACAACTTCATATCGGCAGAATAGCGTCGAGGAAAGTTGAAGAGTTAGAGGAATAAGGCCGGTTTTTGTCCGGATTGTGCACGTTTCGATTTCACCAACTTTCGTCAGCTGAGTTACACGTGGGGGCCTCGGTACAGGGGACACAAGGGATACGTTCATACCATCTGTGTCTAAGGTAAACTTTAGCTGTACTCTAGCAACGTTCTTAGGCTTTACAGCGAATCGTGATTAACACATTTTGTTACGCGTATTATATAGTATATATGGTTTGCAATAAAACTTTGTTGAAGATCGTAATTCTGTAGCTTTGGCGCATTTTAGTGGTGACTCAAATCATCGTTGACTGAGGTGTACTAAAGTAGACTCTTATACTACCAAATTGTGCCTAACATATAATTTCATTAAAATTTATATTTGCCTACAAATTAACATCTAATTTTAGATTGAAAATGTAGATTTATGTATAAGGTTTCTTTATTTGTATACTGTTTGGGATATATTGCTCTATAACTTGAGATAATTATATCGTAAGCGCAACAGTTTTGCAGGCATATATTGATGCCACGCCGGCCACCCTGGTGTCTGTTTCAGCTACAATGCCTTCCATGATGGCGGTAAGAAAGAAAGACGGCGGACCTAACGTGAAATTTTACGACTCGCCCGACACCGTAGCACAGTTCGAGCAAGTGCGAGGCTGGCTCTCTAAGAACTGCAAGAAGGTAGGCTTTCTTTTCATACCAAACAAGCCGAATAAAAGGCAGATCCTAGCACGAAAATAGATCGAACTGTCAGCCCGTTTTGGGCCCCATACATTATGTGAAGCGTGCCTCCATTGTTTGGATGGTGAGAGGAAAAGCGTGGGACAGTCTAGGTTTGTTTTGAAACTTTTCTCCGCTTTCCGGATGGACGGAAAATCTTCTTGGGGGCTTAAACTTTCGCAGGATTACACTTAATGAGTCCTGTTGTAAGAGCATACATATTTCTGATCATAAATTTGTTTTCAGGCTATGTTGCCCCCCCCCCCCAGATACAAATGTGCTTTCCTTTATTTAGGGTAGAAAAAATAGCAAGAGATCGCGATGTACTACTACTTGTAGTGTAGACTTGCAGGTTATTCGTCAATGTTCTAACAGATTCAAAAGATCCCTTTTAAATGACTGTAACAACCATGTTATGCTATGTTGTTTTTGTAGCCTGAAAGCTAGACAGTATGCAATGCCTGCACAGGCCATACTGGTCCTCTAAGTCTAACTTCTAAGATAGGTGGCCTTCTTTGGCAGGGTGCCTAAAGCTTTTTGGGGAAAAAATCCGGCCGGATAAACAGTAGATATTATGACCAGTTTGCCGCATGGACAGGTTTGACTGTATTTACATTTGTTATGTTGTTGTTTGTGTTGACAAAAGCACACACAGGCGGAGCCGCTGACCAACAAGGGACTGGCCAGCCTGACGGTGCAACTCTTACAGTACCAGGAGGACAGCTTCGGAAAACATGTCAGCAAGCCACCTCTCACCAAACTACCTGTGAGTATCAAGCAAACCTCCTGTATCTGTACCTACAGGTTGGGAGTTTGAATCTCAGCTGTTGAATCTGTATCTCTATCTGTATACTGGTATAACTACCTCTGAGCGTAACACACCATCTGTATATGTATAGCCATCTGTATAGCCAATATAACTGCCCTACGGCGTAACACACCAGCTTCGCAGGCACGTGGCACGGCGGCAGCTGGCTACATTGCATTAAACAACCTGTTGCACCTAACCTTTGAACATCTAAGTCTAAACATTGTTTAAAGCTATCTAATGATGATGCTTGGTGACAGCAAGTTCCACTCTGTGAATGTTGTCACTCCTGACTATTACTACTGGATTAAGGGATGTGGTCCCTGGCTTGAGCCACACAGCATTAAAACTAAAAGACCTCGCCTGACAAGTTTCTGAGCTTTAATTTAAAATGACATCTTCTAATGTCGAATCTTACAGGTTAAACTGTTCATGGACTTCAAGCCAGGCGGAGGTCTCTGTCACATCCTGGCTGCAGTCTTCAAGTTTAAGAGTGACCAGGGATGGTGAGTGAGGGAGAAGTGGACCTCAAGTGGGGCCTTCTGGACATGTGTCTCACTGCTCTATGCAGAATTCTTGATATACAATGAATATTATAGATAGGCTACATAGCTTGTTTGTTCTGTCTACATGTCAGTTATGTTCTTCAGGGTGCCGGTCATTTTTCTGATGAAGACTTTGGAATAAAAAGTCGAAACCGGTAAATTGATAGTCTCAGCCGTCATCCTTCTGACGAACTCTTGACATGTCAGTTATGTCTTATGACAGTTAATACTTAATAACTATGTACAATGTACATTAAACATAACATCATGTACAGCTACCAGTACAGAGGTTTGGGTACAGGTCAGGCTTGTATTAGCTTGGGTACTATCCTGGTTAGTTGACGTCTGCTCCGACAGTCGTAGCAACTATCGGAGCGGACGTAAACTAACCAGGATGGTGCCCAGACTAGACCTGTATCTGTACCTGAACAGTTAAACATAGTAACTTTATTTGTACAAGAGTCATAACCATTCATATGCTGTAAGTGTAAATGGAAGTCACTTTATATTCGTGGTCTGAGAAAAGTGGACATGTTTGCAGAACTATATGTTTGCATGTACAGAAGAAATTTGGCAAATCAATTGTTTGAAGTAATGATAAATTTGCAGTACAGAAGTGACCGCGAAAAAAACGAGAATATAACAAGTACCACAAATATAAAGTGACTTACAGTATCATGTCATATATGTTCTTCCCTTCTGCCCTGCTCTTTGCGCAGGCGAAGGTTTGATTTTCAGAACCCGTCCCGTATGGACCGTAACGTGGAGATGTTCATGAACATCGAGAGGAGTCTGGTACAGGTGGGTGGACCGGTGAGACTCTTACATAACTTTCATCAATTTCACTGCTGTAGGACCATACAACACTTTCATGGGGAATGGAGGGATGTTGCAGGGCTCGAAATCCTTTTTATTGCACACCTGCACTGGTGTAACAATGTAAATTACCTGCACCAGACAAATTTTACCTGCTGTATGGCTGAGGTCATACTAAAACTGTTCATTGACATTATTTCTTCTATACATGGTACTTCTAAGTGGTAACAGTAAATACAGCATTCACCTATATATATATGTACATATATAAAATAAATTGCTTTCTGACAATGACCCAACCCCATACAATCACATGTTGCAGAAGATACAAAAAAAGGATATTACAGGACACAAAAATAAAATCCGAACCCTTTTTTGGGATTGCAAACTCGCAAAAATTCACTCCTACCAAATGAAAGCGTTGTATGGTATCTACAGTTATTTCGTCAAGCTAAAATAAGAATTATTATCAAGATCATGTATTTCCTTTTTTTGTGAGATTTTAGGCTGTAAAAAGCCACATCAAAAATTTTCCCATTGTACTGTATTAATTACTTCAGTTGACCTGTAATTCTGTTCATTGTGGACCCTTTCAGAAGTTTTAATGAATTTTCTAAATGTTTCTCCTACAGAATGACTGTCTGACCCGGCCTAACATCTACATGCAGCCTGAGGTGGAACCCAAACTACAGAGCAAACTCAAGGACATCATCAAGAGACACCAGGTAAGGGTATTATGAAGCAAGTTTAAACTGTAATTTCCAACACAACAAATTGGACTCACCCACACTTTTGACTGTACAACTCCAGTCTTTGTCAAGGAATGAGCAAGTTGGGTGAGTCCAATTTGTTGTGTTGGAAATTGTAGTTTAAACTTGTGTTGGAAATTGTAGTTTAAACTTGTGTTGGAAATTGTAGTTTAAACTTGCTTGATAATGATTTCTACCAACACAGATGAACTTTCAAGATAAGGTAAGGGTATTGATATTGTTTTTTTTTCTTGGCACAAAATATTAAGAATAATACTGTACAATAGTACCTTTACATGTCTAACCCAGCACAAATGTCTAGGTGCACTGGTGCCCCCAAAAGTAGAAAATCAAGTGCACAGCTCCAATTTTGGAAGTGCCATTGCTACAACAAGTCTTGGTATATCTTGATAATATTGAAGCCATTAGAGTTTACTAACTTGCATCAAACTCACTCCAAAACTCTTTTCTGCAGGGCACAGTGACAGAAGACAAGACCAATGCCACCCACATTGTGTTCCCCCCGGTCCCACCCTACACTGAACGTAAGATGGAGTTTTCTCTCTTTTAATGACCAAGGTCTACTCTTTTGTAGCCAAATAGTTTGGCTCTCTAACTGTGGTATTATTGCTGTTGTTCTTAATTTTGAATGCTCGAGCAATATTTGTCTAGCAAGTAATTTCTTTCCACTACTTATTTTCTTACTTCAAAGAAAAGGGAGAATACAAAACTAAGCATGTTAACACGCTAGACTATGGAACATGCACCTTTTAGATATTGAGGATAAGACTTTGCTGTTAACTGGATCATTACTATTGTGTTTATAACTTGTTGGTTGATCACTGACATATTTGTTTCTTTTTTTTTCAATCAGCCCATATACGAGACACAGGTAGGTTTACATTTTTTTCAGCTGTCAAAAATGACAGGTCATTTACTCTAAATTTTGCATGATGTAAACTGAGTGTGCTGACACTTCTGGCAAATGAAGTTGACATGATAAATTTTTATTTGATGGATAACTGAAAGAGAAAATGATGAAAGATTTTTTGATGTAGTTTTGTTGTTTCTATGTTCCAGAGGACTGGATTCGTCCCATCATGATCCTGAATAACCGAACCCTGGTGCACTGGTGGCACTATCCAGACAGGTCAGACTAGGGGTTTGTTTTACCACCGGCCTGTGAGGCTGGCATGTCACACCAGAGGGCTGTTATACTGGCTAAACTATACAGATACAGAAGCTGGTGTGTTACTAGCCTCCATAGCATGCCAAAAATTGGGGGTCTTCAGGGTCTTTGGGAGCTTTTATGTGCTATTTTCTGATTGCATATAGACAACATAGCCGGCCTGATTGAATTACCCCCGTTTTTTAGAACTGGGCTGATCAGAAAACAGCTGAAGACCACCAAACCCCCAGTTCTATAAGCCTGCTACGGAGGCTAATCAGAAAACAGCCGAAGACCACCAAACCCCCAGTTCTATAAGCCTGCTACGGAGGCTAGTGTGTTACCCTGAAGGGCAGTTGTACTGACTAAGCAATACTGAGTGTTGCAAACCCAAGTACATCACTACAAAGTTATGTAGTCTGACAGAGTGACACAGAAAGAACTTTCTTGCATGTTTAGTTCTGTGCTATGCTGAAGATGCTATGCTATGCAGCAAACATCTTTCATTGACTGAAAATAAGACAGAAGACAAGTGTAACCTGTATATAAATGATTACTAGTATCTGAATTTCTACCCTCTTGCATTTTCTGTTCAGCATGCAACGGACATGTTTTGATGTTTTTGTTTATTGTTTGTTGTTTTCCCGACAGTTACGACACATGGACCCCCAGTAGTGAGGTTAACCAGGAGCCTGACCTCCCCCCTCCCCACCAGGGTGCATGGAAGGTACAGAAACCACAGTCTCTCAACCACTTATTTATATTATCCCTATTTTAGTACCACGACAGTTTTCATTTTAATAAAGAAATGGCAATTATTATAGGTCTTTACAGAGGATTCAGTCATTCTCTTGACAAGGGTACAAGCAAGTTTTGCAGAGTCCACATTTTATGCTGAGTATCATGTTCAGTGGTTGAGTCATTGCCACATCAGCTTATGAAAAAGCACTTCATTTCATTTTAAAAATTACACTTCGAGTTCAACAGAAGAAGAACAGCTAATTACAATGTTTAAAGGTAAAATTTTTGATCTAACACAAATAAGTTCTCTCACCTAGAGCTTAGGTGATAGAACTTCTTTGTGTTGGATCTGAAGTTTTAACTTTAAACATGTCACTACCGACACAGATGAACTTTCATGATAGCTCATCACATTTTTTTCTCCCCAGGTGAATGCTCGCTGGCTAACAGACCTGGAGGAGTTTAACGAATGGATGAACGAGGAAGACTATGAAATCGACGAATCGGTGAGATCAGTTTAGTCATTTTTATTTCTTTAATATACTAGTAGTAATATTTATTGTTTGCTTTAGGATCAAATTCGTTTTTTAAGGAATTTTTCAAAGCAAGAATACTTTGACAAAACATTCTGAAACTATGTATGATTTGCTGTGTAACAAAATCTGTTGTTCTATTATAACAGGAGCCAAACACCATCCCGAGACGTAACGGTATCCGGATGAAGCCTGCTGCAGATGAGGTACGCACCAACCATCCTTACGACTTGAAATACTTTTTCTCAGTTACTCACAAAACTGCGTGTTGGCAAAAATGTTACATGCAATTTAAGAAATGGTAATTACTGCAAAAAAAATACTTGAAAATCATATATAGTTGGTACATGTAGTAAAGACAAAAGTTCTCAAACTGTATAATAGTAATAGTATCACAACTTAACCAGAAGTTCTGCCTTGTTCCAGATCTCCCATTCTGAGGAACCAGAGAGGAGGGAGAGAGGCAAGCCTGGACCCAAGAAACGCAAGCGGTCCCCCTCCCCGGACCCTACCAAGAAGAAGAAAAAAGGGTAAGGAATTCAAATAGACTCAATTTTACATGAGCATTATCTTTCATACATGTTATGTTAGCTATTCTTGCATTCAAGGTTGTTACAAGTTAGGTGAACATGGCACATACATTTGGTGCAAATTTGTATGGTGCTGCAGATGTCTGCCTGCACCTTACCGGCAAGTTGGTCCATACACATGTAAGTGTGTGTGGATTTTTATTTGCTGCATTGGCTGTTACCACCTATGAAGTATAAAAGAAATAATGACTGGTTCCTGAACAGTTTTACTATGATTCACACTTCCTAAAGTCTGAATGGTGCAGGTAAAATTTTTCTTGCACAGGTAATTTTCAATGTCACATGTCCTTTCACCAGTGCAGAAAAGGATTTCAAGCCCGTTTTATGATGCATAGAAGTCTGACCATTCTCTATAGTATTGTTCATGACCTGTTACATGTATGTTTCTGTAGGAGGACCCCCGGACCAACTCCTGACCGTAAGAAACGGTCGTCTAAAGAAGAAGCTGACCAGGAGGACGCGACCAAGGACATGGACAACCCCTCACCTGTCCCGAATGTAGAGGAGGTCAACCTCCCCAAAAATGGTGAAGAAAGGAAGATTTGTTCCTTCTTTAGTAGACAAACAAATTCCTTAGCCTAGTCAGACCTTCAAGATTGTAAAGAGCTCCCTCTGTTTTTATTCCGTTTAAAGTTCTCTGAATGTTATGTTTCTTCTTGTGAATGATTTTATCAGGTTGTCATGAGACTTTATAAGAACATTTCTTTTTTATTCACAAACAGTGGGTTTACACATCCAACATTTTAGTTTTTAGTGATCACAATGAGTAGTTCTTATTTGTAAAAACTCACTGGGTGTTCAATAAAAAACCTTTTTATAACTTTTGAGTTATTTGTCCCATTTCTACCAGTGGTGAACACTAAGAAGGACAGTGAACAACAGCCCATCAAGGGAGGGACTCTGGCAGACTTGGACGAGAAGGAGGATGAGGAAGGAAAGGTAAGATGTGATTTGGTCTTTTTGGCTGTGAAAAAGGAAATTCCTATACAGTCAAACCTGTCCAGGCCGGCCACCCAGGGGACCAAAGAAAAGTGGCCACATTGGACAGGTGGTCTCCTTGAAGAGGGTCACCTCACAACATGACTGAGGCATAAGTTGAGATATTCTAGTGTCAAATGCTGTCAATGCATGTGGGGAGGGTGGCACATGGAACAATTTACCTCAAACAAAAACATCATCCAGCATTCAATGAAAACTGGCTGGTTTCTCCATGATTTCTCATTAGTTATCATCAATAATCAACACGATCGAAAATGATGTGGTCACCATGGGCAGGTATCAGGCCTTGAGTGGACCTTACTCTGGGCTGTCCCGGTCACTTTGGCCAGGTTGATCCCATGTTGTCATGTTTTTCAGGGTGAGGAAGACAAGACTAAGAAGGAAGGGGAGGGATCTAAAGATGACAACCAGGAGGACAACGTGACAGAGCAGACCCATCACATCATCATCCCATCCTACTCTGCATGGTTCGACTATAACAGGTACAGATGGCTTTTTTTTTCAATATACGTTTTATTGCACACTATATAAATATGTGGGGTTGTGTGGCACAATGGCAGAGCATTCAACTCAGAACCAAGAGGTCGCGGGTTCGAACCCTGCCAAGTCACCGACCTTGTGCCCTTTGGAAAGGCACTTTACACAAACCATCACATCATCATCCCATCTTAACTCTGCATGGTTCGACTATAACAGGTACGGGTAGCTTCTTCAAATCTTTATTGTGAAAACAATTGAATCACAGTGAAAACGGGTCAAAGAGTAAGAAGAAAGGTACAGAGGTCTTTGTGGAGAAATTCTCATCTTTTCTTGATCTTGATCTTAACCCCTGCGTAACACTCATCAGTTGGGGTAAGACATGCAGGGGGATTTTAATGTGACAAGGTGGCCTTGTGGCTGGGGTATTGACTTAGAAGAATGTAAACATTTATGTTATGCTCTTGGGAAATACATTTTAAAGCTATTTTATCATTTGAACTCAGGTGAAAAATGCAAATTGAGCACCTAGCTTTAGTTAGGAATGTCATCTTGAATAGCACGTAAAGCTTGTGATCCTGTGTTCGAGGAGCTTTATCTTACTATGTATTGTTTTTATTACTAAGGTTACAGGTTGTTTAATGTTTCTTGAGGTTCTAACCATGTTGAACTTTGCAGTATCCACACCATTGAGAAGAGAGCCCTGCCTGAGTTCTTCAACAGTAAGAACAAGTCCAAGACACCGGAAGTGTGAGTATAGCTGTTCTTTAAGTTTTACTTCATTCTCAATTCTACATAGACTTTGGTTTGGGAGGTAAAAGGCAGCGAAAGGAGAGGGATGGGCTCTGCCTTCTGATATTATGCCCTAGACACAGTGGATTAACAACCCACTGCCCCTACGGCCTAAAAGGCTATGGCACTACCCATACAGGGTCTTTGATAATATGTATAATATACATGCAACAGACCCTTATGTTTGCGAATGATTGATTGACTACCCTTACTCTCTATCCAGGATTAGATTATACTGCTGCTGTTGTCCCTGCCACAGGGGTTGGCAGCAGTCGGCTAGTAGTACTGGTCTTCACACTGCACCTCCAGGCAGCCCTGTCCAGTGGGTTAACACTGGCAAGGCTGCGCTCTATAATGTCCTTCTTGACACACTCTATCCAGGTCTTTGCAGATAAGTGATGTTACCCTTTTACCCTCACAGGTACCTGGCCTACAGGAACTTCATGATCGACACGTACCGTCTGAACCCCATGGACTACCTCACCAGCACGGCGTGCAGACGTAACCTGGCTGGAGATGTCTGTGCCATCATGAGGTAGGCTCTGTTCCTGTTTTACACATAGAGAAGAGTTGAGAACACTCCCCCCAGCTGTTGTGCTTGGGCTCTAAAAACAAGCACGTCGGCAGAACGTACTGCGCCTGCGCAGAACCCTGTATTTTCACGGTTTTCGGTGGATTTTTGGTCAACGTTGCATCAAAATTTTGCCTGTTGCAGAAGACATCTTTTCTGACATAATATTTGGAAACTACAAACGGAGTGTTAACCTTATATGCGCGAATACAACCTTATATGGGACGTTCTACCGAAGTGCTATGTACAATACATTACGGGTTTCACGCAGGTGCAGTACGTTCTGCCAACATGCTCTAGAAACAGAGATGGGCTCAGCTCAGCTCAAGAACTACAAATATTCTATTATTATTCTGACGCTTACATTCCAAGAATATCCTGCATACTATTATTCAATATGTACAAAAATACCTACAAAAAATTTTAGTCAGAAAAGAATTGGGTGCACAGCTCCAATTTTGGGTGCACTAAGGTGCACATGCACACAATACATTGTATTTACAGCCCTGAACTTCTACCAACACAGATGAACTTTCAAGATAACAAACAAGCTTGTTTCCCACTACAGAGTGCACGCGTTTCTGGAGCAGTGGGGTCTGGTCAACTACCAGGTGGATCCTGACAGCAAGCCCACACCCATGGGCCCCCCTCCCACCTCTCACTTCCACGTACTGTCTGATACACCGTCAGGACTGCAGCCTGTACAGCCAGCCAAGTCACAACAGGTCAGTACAAACAAACAAACAAACAAACAACAGGTCAGTACAAACAAACAAACAAACAAACAACAGGTCAGTACAAACAAACTGGACAGTACAGGGGCCATAACAAGACTTGGAAACAACCCTAAATGAGACATTCTGCTGAAGTACTATGCACAATTTTGTGCAGACACAGTACGTTCTGCTGACATGCTACATGTAGGTAGGTAAGAAGCAATGCAAAAACTTTTCAACACTTACAACTCTACTACTTCATCATAAACATCACAGACTTTTTTTGCTCTGGATGTACACCTTGTTTAAATTTGTTGCTTTGCATTTTTGTCAGCTTTGTCATTGCATTTCTTTCACTTTTCTTTGACTTTTTGAGCTGAGACTTTTTGTTGACTTTTTGCTGCCTGGTTGCCAGCCCCTACTCTCCAAGCAGAGATTTGGGTTTGGGGTCATTTTTGGCACGTTTTTAGGCTTTTTTATCGGGGTTTCTCTTTTGCACTGAATTTTGGTGGGAAAAAAATACCCCCAAAACCCAAACCTCTACTTGGAGAGTAGCCAGCTCCCTTCTGTGTTGCTCTCTGCGTGTTGTTTACATGTTATTTGTCATAGTCTGCCTCCCAACAGATGATGCAGTTTGCAGACAAGAACAACAAGGACGCCAAACCCGCCTCCAGCGAACAACAGAACTTTGGGTGAGTGGAAACTTTTCAATGAAGCAAGGGTGCCCCCCCTCTCCCAAAAATCCTTTTAAAAAATAGCACCTCTCCCAAAATGTTCAAATTTAGGGTTTTCTCTTAGTATTTTCATGAAAATTTGCTGATTTTTCATCAGCCGATTAGGAAGCACAACTCCCCAAAGAATTTCTGGGTCGACCTCTGTCATTTATTTCCTATGAAATGGTGCACCCACATAAAAGAATTGGGTGCACAGCTCCAAATTTGGGTGCACTAAGGTGCACATGCACCCAGTATTTCCAGCCCTGACCTTAGTACAAAATGTCTGATTCTGTGTTCTTGTAGTGATGTACATTATTGTCTTGAATACTTCCTTTAATCTTGTCGTGTTTTTCCCCAGGTTGCGTACAGACATGTACACGTCCAAGTCAGCAGCGGCTCTTAAGGCGAAAGCTGCGACGGCCACCAGGCCCTGGACCGACCAGGAAACACTGCTGCTGCTGGAGGTAAGACATTTGTCTGTCTAGCTAAATTGCATTCAGAATTCAATTCATCCATTCACATGTATTGTTTGTAAATTACAAGTAGTGGGCCAGTCAACCTCATAAATTTGTTCGAGGTGTGGCTGTCCTCAAATACTGCATAGAATGATATGTTGATGGAACTGTTGTTGTTATTTCAGGCTATGGAGATGTACAAGGATGACTGGAACAAGGTGTGTGAACACGTGGGCAGCCGCACACAGGACGAGTGTATCCTGCACTTCCTCAGACTGCCCATAGAGGACCCATATTTGGAGGACTCTCAGGAGGCCATGGGTTAGTTATCAATAGTTATTGATTGATTGGTTGATTGATTGATTGATTGATTGAGGCCTGTCAATAGAGGACCCGTATCTGGAGGACTCTCAGGAGGCCCTGGGTTAGTTATCAATAGTTATTGTGAAGGAATTACCAATCCACCGCTTCTGTGACATCACGTTATGCAGATTGAACCAGTGACTCAGGGAGCAGTGGATCATAGACTGCAGAAAGTCTGATGAATTAATTAACGATCAATGGTTATTGATGGATTGATTTAGATTGACATAACAGGTGACTATCACCTTTAAAAGAGACCAGACTGTGAGGTTTGTTGGAATCAGACTAGGAAGGACTCCTCTTTGTATGCTCGAGGTGTGACAAATCCGGTCTTTAGTTGCCACCTGTGTGCTGTGACAATTTTCTTCAACTTCGGTTTTCTTTTGCTCGCATTGTGTTTGTCTTATTCGTGTGTGTCCAGGGCACCACAGTAAATCAGTACAAAGTCATGGAGCTGGTCTACCACAGCTGATATATATAGATTTTCCTGTTGTTTTTCCCCCAGGACCTCTGGCGTACCAGCCCATACCGTTCAGCCAGCAGGGAAATCCTGTCATGAGTGTGGTTGCTTTCCTGGCTTCTGTTGTCGACCCAAGGGTGGCTTCCTCAGCCGCCAAGGCTGCTATAGGTAAGGGTATAGGACACTAAGTGCTTGAAATCCTTTTTTTCCTTTATTTAGCACCCAAAGCCTTTCAGTTCATCCAAATATTGATTTTTTTAAAATATGTTCCTAGAAGCACCATTTTTAATCTCATTAACTTTTTTACCGTCTGCAATGATGTTAGTTTGATGCCTACATGGCAGTTCTTGACCACCATTGTCTCCCTGATTTTCTTCATATCCTCAGTATTCCTGACACCAGTTACCACATGAATAACTATGACTACAAAAGAGAGTAGCATATTTCTGTGTTAGCAGAGCACAGGGATGAAAACTTGAATATGACTATTCACTCCATAAAACTGAGTACACCGAGGCATAAACCTGGTCCTAGGGCTTTCAGTAGGGTTTTCCAGTGAAGCATATTCTGTAAAAATCCAAGAACCAACAGATATAATTGCTGTGGCCTAACTTGTGTGAATAAACTTTATTTCCTCAGAGGAGTTCTCGAAGATAAAAGATGAGGTTCCGCCCGCCCTGATCGAAGCTCACGTCAAGAAGGTGGAAGATGCTGCGAAGACGGGCACTCTGACCTCCGACCTCCTGTTGGACGACACCGGGATCGCCGGAACGGGAGCGGAGGAGCCGACAGAGAAACCGGAAACCATGGAAATGGAAGAGTCCAAACCCGGGCCGTCAGGGGAGGGGGAGAAGAAAGAGGAGGAAAAAACTGAAGAATCGGTGAGTTTCTGGTGATATGGGGAGAGGAAAAAGAAAAAAAAATTTTTTATTGTTTATTTATTACTTGCTCATATAAAAAGAGTTACATAATCAAATAATAAAAATAAGAGAATATGCGGGGTAGGCCAGAAACCTAGTTGGTTTTTTAAAGGGCCTACCCCAAACAAAGGTAACTATGATATATGACAAAACATATTTGAATTAAACATCAAAATTAAACAATGAAATAATTGATTAATTAAACAAAATCAAGACACAGAAATAATAACTGAAGTGGAAATGTGCAAATGTTTAAAGTTAAATCTTTTGATCCAACACAAAGAAGTTAGGTACATGAGAGAACTTCTTTGTGTTGGATCAAAAGCTTTAACTTTAAACATGTAACTACCAACACAGATGAGCTTTCATGACAAAAAAAATGGTTTTGATCAAACATTCTGTTTGATTTGGTCTGACTACATTATGGTTTAAAAATCTTTACATAGCAGGCATTGGGAGTATTGGATAATTGCAACATTAATTAAGTTTCTACAGGTTTTTGCGAAATGTTGCAGCAATGCTGTAATGTTATCATTTACTCTAACAAAGTTTCTGCATTTTATTTCCAGAAGGAAGAAGGAGAGAAGAAAGAACAAGAGGAAGAGAAGGAAGAAAAGAAGGAGGAAGAGAAGAAAGAAGAAGAGGAGAAAACAGAGAAGGAGATAAAGAAGGAGCCAGAAGAAGTAAAGGAGGAGGAAAAACCACAGGAGGGAGAAAAAATGGAAACAGACCAAACAGGAAAACCTGCAGAAGGTGAGATTCACTCTTCACATTTTTGTACAATTCTACGTGTAACTGACTAAACTGTTGGGCATACCAACTACTAAAAATCTAAAACTAACTCAGAAAGAACTTGAAATAGTCATGCCTTCCAGTACGAAAGTTATCAACGAAGGATTGAGATGTTAAAAAATTTGTTTTTCCCTAGAACTATTTTAGAGTGTAACTCACTGTCCCCAAGTACAGTAAGGGCATTATCATATCTTTGGTTTCATTTTGGAAAGTGTCAAGAACCAGAAAATCTGAATGATATTTCATGGTTTTTGTCTTTGTGACCAGCTGTCTGTGACATTTCAAACATTTCCTGCGGCTAAGATATATATATCTGGTGCACCCACAGAAAAGAATTGGGTGCACAGCTCCAAATTTGGATGTAATGTCTACCAAAAAGTCTGAATGAAATTTCATCGTTTTTGTCCCTCTACTTCTCCGTGTAGAAGAGAAGGAAGAAGGGAAGGAGGAAGCAAAAGAAGAGAAAACGGAGGAAGTTGCGGAGCTGACGGAAGAACAGAAGGAGAAACTGAAGCAGAGGGACGACATTCCGAAGGGCAACGTGGCGACAGCTGCAGCCGCGGCGCTGTCAGCTGCTGCTGTCAAGGCAAAGGTACGGTTACAACTCGGATCAGGGTTCTCACCAGTTTTTCGCAGCGTAGGGGTCAGGTATAGAAGGATAACATTCCACGGCACAAGCCACACATTGGGTTGCAAAGACATGACCACAGTAGGGGGTCTAGGATTCTCCGCAAAAATTTTAAAACTCTTAAGGCCATGTCGATATGATTATATGGATGACATCTGCTCGCGCATGAATTTTCTGCTGTGTCCCAAAAAAAAGTTTTCAAGCATACTGTAAATCACACACAACAGTTGCAAAATGAGCAAATATATACTGTAAATTTGAAAAAAAAAATATTTGAAAACCAACGTCGTAGAAAAAGTTACATATTTACCCTTTGTCATAACTTCATACTAAAGTAAAAATTTTTATGAAGGGTCACAAGGTTCTCCCCCAAAAGAAACAGCCTTATGCTGGTTGCCTTATGCCTCACATGGTGAGGGAAGAACTTATGTTTCAACGAACAAACGTTACCTTTCTGTTCTTTCCTGCAGCACCTGGCCGCAGTAGAGGAGCGTAAGATAAAGAGTCTGGTGGCTCTTCTCGTGGAGACGCAGATGAAAAAACTGGAGATCAAGTTACGCCACTTCGAGGAGCTGGAGGCTATCATGGACAGGGAGAGAGAAGCGGTGAGGAAACTTTTAAAAAGGAAGCCTGTGCTGTAAAATCACCCAATATATTTGGCTAGTGTAAACTGTCACAATCTGCAACTGGCAGCCATACCATACACATGGAGAGAGGCTTAACTAAAGTATACTCTTCAAGACACTTAATTATGTGGAGACAGCAAAGACATTAACGCATATATCAACAACACAAAAAGTAGATGTCATATTCAACTAAACAACCAGAATATAGAGTAATAATAACACAGGCACACCAAACCAATGCTTTTAAAGTGGGACTTTGGCTGGGCCCTAAACAGGGATGGGCTCTTCCCCTTTAGTCTGAATGGTGTTGGAAAGATTTTAACAAACTTTTAACTAAAATTGCATCTGGACTACCAATAAAAAGGCACTGAAACTCAGTCCACACCAAATCTAGTTGCTTGTTCTTCAAGTTAGAATACAAATTTTTTTGTGGCCTTAACAGTATTCTTTGGTTACCTTTTTTCACTGATACAAATACATAAACTCACTCACCCACACACTCACTGTATTCCAGCTTGAGTACCAGCGTCAGCAGCTGCTAGCAGACAGACAGGCCTTCCACATGGAACAGTTGAAGGCCGCGGAGATGCGTGCCCGTCAGCAGGCAGCCATGCAGCTGCAGTCCCAACAGGCACCTGCCCAGGGCGCACCAGGACAGCCCCACGGACACATGCCCCCCCAGCCGCAGGCCTTCAGTGGACAGGTGTCATCAGGGGTCATCGCACCTCGTAAGTCTGACGGTCTTCTCATCTAGCCCTTAGTTTAGCCATTTAACTGTTAGGAGCAGATGTAACAAGTCTCTCCCCTTCTCGGTTTTTCATAGTGTTTCACAAGTATTAATAGTGTCATTTTTCATGTAGCATCTCATAAGTCAGTCAAAGTCTAATCATTTCACCACAGACAATCTGACGACCAGTTTTCTCCACCCTTCTTGGTTTTCTATTCTACTTAATGTTTCTCTTGGTGTCACTCCAGTCCATTCTCTAATATTGAGATCAAATTTTCAACGACCACTGTTGCCTTCATCAGGATAATTTGTTTTGATTGGTCATTAATTATCCTGATGAAGGCGACAGTGGTCATTGAAAATTTGATCCCTGTGAAACCTTGTGTTGGAATACAGTTCAACATTTTACTATCTAACTACCAACACAGATGAACTTTCATGATACATTGTGATAGTGAATTGCATTGTCCCCCCCCCCCCCCACGCCGGCCCGAGTGCCCAGCCCCACCCCCAGCACGTCCATGGCTACCCAGAACCCTGTGATCGTGCTAGTTTTGTTTTTACTGTGTGTACTGTCCCCAGGCCAGCTATTATAAGTAGTGTTGTGCAAGCACGTCTAACCCTCGGAAGACGGGGAACAACAGACGATAAACCGGATAGTGAGAGTGAGTGAGAGTGTTTGCTTGTGAAGGTAATAAGAGTTGTGTTGTCCCCCCCCCCCAGCTGGCCCGAGTGCCCAGCCCACCCCCAGTACCTCCATGGCTACCCAGAACCCAGCCATCGTGGCTGCCATGACAGGTGGACCTGCCGCCTCGCCCAGCGGGAAGGGAACTCCCAGCCCTGTTCCTGCTCCAGGTACAGGTAGCTACTTTTCACTGTACTGTCGGTCTCTAGGCTAGCCCGTGTAACAGGTAGCTGTGTTTCCACTTCCGTTGTGCTTTGTATACTGTCCACAGGGCTAGCCTGTGTTACAGGCCCATACTTGCACAAGGTACAGGTAGCTGTGTTCTCTTGTACTTTATATTGTTACTGTCCCTTGGCTAG